CGCGCGCCGGCGGTGCCCGCGGGGGCCCGCCCCGTGGCGCCGGCGCCGGCGGCGCCTGCACCGGCGACCGCAGGCAAGCCGAGCAAACCGTCGTCGCACGCGAATCGCGCCAAGAATGTGGCGCTCGCTGCGCTCACGGGTGGCAGCATTGGCCTCCCAGCGCAGGAGACGCCGGCGCCAGGGTTCCTCCCAGCGGGCGGCGGCGCACGTAAGGTCATCCCGGAACTTGTGCTCCCATTTCCGCTGCCATGCGAAGTGGATGTAGCGGGACATGAGGCTGATCTCGAACTCGGCAGCAGTGTCGTGTTCCAGCAAGCGCTGCGCCAGACCCGTATGATGCACATGCTCCAGATCTTGCCGCCGTACAGCCACCGGCAGCGCACGGGTATGGAGTACTATGATGTCATTCCGCCGCAGCTCCTGCCTGGGATCCACGCGCGGTCGGCGCATACGCTCGTGTCGCTGGGTCGTGCGGATGTGCAGGTGGGTCCGATGACGTATTATGGCGTGCGGTTCTGGCAATTGCGCCCGGCGCCGGCGCCGGCGCCGATGCCCCGCGCGCCACGTCCTGCTCACCCGGGGACAGTGCGCCCGCCCATGGCGCACGGTCCTGGCCCTGCTTTGGCGAGACCCGCCCCTGGTGCGAGCGCGCCACCAGCGCCCCATCAGGCGCCCGATCCTCGGCAGTCCCAGCCTCAGCCTCAGCCCCAGCCCCAGCCCCAGCCTCAGTCCCAGCCTCAGTCCCAGCCTCAGCCTCAGCCTCAGCCTCAGCCTCAGCCTCAGCCTCAGCCTCAGCCTCAGCCCCAGGCGCCCCCATCACAGCCCCAGGCACCGCCGCCCCAGGCACGACCACTAGACGCTGGATTCGTGTCGCGCCTGCAGCAGCGTGCCGAGCGCGATCCACATTTGCAGCATCTCCTGCAGCTCGCGCGAGCAGGGCAACTACCCGAACAGGGCATCATCCAGCTCAATGCCATTCTCGCCTCGCTCATGGCTCCGCCTGTGCCGCCGCCCGAGGAGCGCGCGCCGCCCGTGATCCTCGTCGAGTTTCCCGAGAACCCAAGCCTGCAGCTGGTCCTGCCCCTGTGGCATGCGGCCGTCGAGCGCCAGCACGCGGACGGGAAGGCATCGTCTGTGGCGCTCAGCTTTTTTGCGCCAGCGATTGGCTCCAAGGCCGCCGGCGAGAGCGGCAAGGACGAGGCCCAAGCGGCCGTGCATGGCATGCTCGTCCGGGACATGAGCCACGTGTCATCTGCGCCACCGCCCGACACGCCAGCGACTGCCCAGGAAGAGGCGGCGCCGGCAGAGGCGCCTCCGCCCGCGCCGGAGCCGAAGCGGCGCCGCGCAGGCACACGCAGCAAGGGTGTCAAGGCGGAAGAAGCTGTCCCCGCAAGCACAAGCGCCGCGCCGCCGCCGTCGCGCAACCACGAGCTATTTCCTTTGACGTGGCGCATCACGTCCGTGCATGGCGTCGATGAGCGCCTGTGGGACTGCGTGGGGCGCGTGCCAGGCTGCCTAACCAACGGCACGTGGGCCTCGCCCGGCGACGAGCGAGTGTTTGCCGCCATCAAGGCGTCGTTCGCGCAGCGGAGGCGCACGATGCCTGCCCTCCATCAGCTTCCGCCCCGGCTGCGCGCGACGGACGTCCCACCGGGCCTCGCGGATCATGTGCACGACCGCTATGCCATGCGCGTGGCCGTGTACACGCACCGGCCACAGCCCAAGCGCAAGGTCGCGATGCTGTCCGATACCAAGGAGGCAAGCCATGCACGGAGCATGGAGCCGACGCCCCGCGCGCCTGCGCTCAGCGAGGACGGCACGAAGCCGAAGCGCAAGCGCCACGTGGCGACGCACAACCCCGATGGCAGCATCAAGAGCTGCGGCGCATGCGGCAAGACCAAGACGCCCATGTGGCGGCGCGGGCCCAAGGGACCCTCGCAACTCTGCAATGCGTGTGGCGCCAAGTGGAAGGCAGGGCGCCTCATCGTGCCGGATGTGCCGCCGCCACCGATCCTCAACGACGTGCTGCCTGTGCGGCACGTCAAGCCGCCCGTGCCAAGTGCGCCGAGCCTGCCTCCGACTGGCGCGGACGTGCATGGCCCGCCAATGATGCCCGTCCCACAGGTGCCACCGTCCTCAGGTGCGCGATCGATGCCGGCACCCGACCGCCCGCCCGGTCCGGACCCGGCGCCGCCACGGCCGGAGGCTCACCCCGCTGCACAGAGTGCGCAGCCCATGCCGCTGCCTGCCGCTACGGGCTTGCCACAGCACGAGGTGAGCGCGCAACCGCCGCCGCCGCCCGCGTCCGAGGCGCCAGCGCCAGCTCCATAGCAGATACCTAGCGCGCACGTGCCGAGGACCACGACACCTCCACCATATCACGACCATGGTACGTAGCGGTGCCTCACCGCAGACGGTGCTTCCTATGAGCAAGGGCCCCGCCATTCCGGCTGCCGCACAGCGCTTCCTCAAGTATGTGGAAGCGAGTCCAACGCCGTTCCATGCGACAGCGTCGAGTGTGGCCATGCTCGAGAACGCCGGGTTCGTCCAGCTGCACGAGCACCAGAGCTGGGACGAGAAGCTGTTCCTGGGCGGGCGCTACTAGTGCGTACCGTATGCTGACCGCAGTTACCAGCGCAACCAGTCGTCGCTTGTGGCGTTTGTGGTCGGCAAAAAGTATGCGCCGGGCCACGGTGTGCACATGGTCGGCGCCCACACCGACTCGCCGAACCTGCGCGTGCGCCCCGTCTCGAAGAAGAGCAAGGAGGGGTACCTGCAGTGCTCGGTCGAGACGTACGGCGGCGGCCAGTGGCACACGTGGTTCGACCGGGACCTCAGCCTCGCGGGCCGCGTGATTGTCGCGGCGAACGACGCGCCGAGCCGCTTCGTGTCGCGGCTCGTGCACATCCGGCGCCCGCTCTTGCGTGTGCCGACGCTGGCGATCCACCTGAACCGCTCGGTGAATGAGGCATTCAAGTTCAATCAGGAGGACCAGCTGCAGCCGATCCTTGGGCTCGCCGAGTCGCTGAATCAGCCGGCGGCGCCAGCGAGCGACGCCGTCGGTGTGCCGGCCATGGGCAGCAAGCACCACCCGGCGCTCCTGGCGCTCCTGGCGTCGGAGCTGGGCGTCGCGGTCGAGGCCATCGAGGACTTTGAGCTGAGTCTCTACGACACGAACCCCCCCACGGCCGGCGGCCTGCACAACGAGTTCCTGTTCGCGCCGCGCGTTGACAACCAAATGAGCTGCTTCTGTGCGACGGAGGCGCTCATTGCATCCGTCGTCGACATCGACGCGGTCGAGCAGGCCAAGAGCATCCGCGCGATTGCGCTCTTCGACCACGAGGAGGTCGGCTCCGTGTCGCACCAGGGCGCTGAGAGCAGCCTGCTCTGGAGCATGGTGCACCGCCTCGCGGGCCTCGCGGTGCCCGGCGCACCAAGCACAAGCGCGTCTGCGCCGGAGCTGTTCGAGCAGAGTCTTGCGCGCTCGTTCCTGATTAGCTCGGACACAGCTCACGGTACGTCCACGGCGCTCACACCAGCGGTCCACCCGAACTATGCGTCGGTGCACGAGGAGCATCTGCGTCCGAAGATGAACGCGGGCCCCGTGCTCAAGACGAACGCCAAGCAGCGGTACGCATCGAACGCTGTGACGACGTTCCTGCTGCGCCGCGTCGCGAAGCGTGCGGGTGTGCCGCTCCAGGAGTTTGAGGTGCGCAACGACTGCCCGTGCGGGAGCACCATTGGCCCGATGCTCTCCAAGGCGGTGCGCACCGTCGACCTAGGCAACCCGCAGCTGAGCATGCACTCGATTCGCGAGGTGTGCGGCGCCATCGACGTCGACTACAAGATTCGCCTCGTACGTGCGATGTGCTGACGCAGTTCCGCGAGTTCTTCCGCTCGTTCGACGAAATCGACGCCGAGCTGCACGTCGACTAGCTATAGATCAGGTGCGCCGGCGGCGCGGCGCGGGAAGCGCATCGATGCGCGCGCGCAGAGCGTCCGCGGCGCCCACACGCTCCCAAATCTGCACGTACGACTCGCCCAGGAACAGCATTTGGGGGTTCACTTCGTCCACGTGGAGGTCTTGCATCTGGAACCAGCGGTCGCCGGCGCCCGTGTGCACCTGCGAGCGCCACACACTGTTCTCGCGCACGGTGCCCGCCGTCGCCTCGTGCGTGATGTTGGCCAGCAGGTTGTAGACCTGCGAGTCCTGCATGGTCGGCCCCTCGACGTCTGCGTCAGTAGAGTGTACGTACAGGGCTGCCAGTCCAGGCCGCGCGTCGGAAACTGGACGAGGGTCTTGTTGCGCTCCTCCACAAACTGGTTCCGCGTAAAGCGCCGATAGTGCAGAATCACATACGGCGGGAGCCGCGTGAGGTGGTGCCGGCGGATGCGGCCCTGCGCCTCCTGGATCGAGATGCCGTCGTACTTGGCGAGCACCTGTGCGATTGGGACTTGCGGGATGATATTCTCCGCGACCACGTCCTGGAACACCGGCAGCGGCGGCAGATCGACGGCGAGCAGCAGGAACGGCACCTGGTCGACCTGGATCGCCTTTTCAATATTGAACGTCGCACGCCCGTGCTCGTCCTGCTGACCGCTCGCGAGGCGCCCGTCGTGGTCGAGCTTGTCGGCGGGCGCATCGTCCTCGAGGCCCGTGCGCACAATCACTTTCTGCGACTCGAGGCGCAGGGCGCCCTGGAAGCACTCGGTCACGACAGAGCGGCCGTCGCGTACGTGCGAGGCGCCGACCAGGTCGCGGTGCAGCCGGTTCAGCAGCCAGCCGAGAAAGTCGACCGGATCGGCCGCGTCCGTAAGGCGGAAGCGCCCCTGGCTCGCCTGTGTGACCTCCTGCAGAAACTCGTGCGGAGACACCTGGCTCTTGAAGGCGCGCGGGTTCCACAGGCGGCGCACAAGCATGCCGAAGCGGCGCACAAGCTCCGTCGAGTGGGCGAGCGGCTCGTGCTCGGCGTCTGTGCGTTGCGTGCTCGGCGAGCCGCCGCGCAGGAAGTAGTCGCGCAACGGCGGCACATGCGCAAGTGCCTGCACGACGGCGTTCATCGCATCGCTGCGCCCCAGATTGTTCAGGCCGACGAACCCCGGCACATACACCTGTGCCCGCAGGTCGCGTGCGACGGGCGCATCCGGCGCATCGAGCCGCGCAATCTGCTGTTCACTAAAAGGCAGGCGCAGCTGGTACTGGATATCGCTGAGCGACGCATCGTCCACCTCGTAGTTGTCCGGGAGCACATACACGCGGCCGGAGTCGAGGTTCAGAAACACGTGGTGCGACTCGTCAATAGCATGGAAATACGCATGGGTCTGCTTGCCGCGCCCCTGGAAGAATTTGCCGCACACCAGACACGCATAGATGTGCACGTTCGAGAGCGACACGCAGCACACCTTCTCAAAGTCAAAGTCGAGGACGCGCCGGTCGATCTGCGTGAGCTCTGCGCACGTACCGTGTCCAAATACAGGTCGCGCCGCACGGGAACGGCACGCGCTGCGTCCCGCGCGCGCTGTGCCCAGTATTCGGCATCCTGGATGTCGTCAGCCTCAGCGCGCGCGCGCTTCGCGGGCGGCGCCCCCACTGGCTCGGGCGCACGGCCAGGCGCCATGATGGAGGGCAGTCGCTGAGGTAAGCAACCCCGCCGACCTATATAGGTTCATGCAGAAATGGCGCAAGTTGTGGGGCACGACAATGTGACTCAGCGCTGAAAATGGAGTCTGCTCACGATGATAGATGACAAGGCAGAGGCCCTGGCGAGCGATACACATGTCGCAACGGCAGATCTCTCCGAGAAGGCGAGCGAGCTCCCGCTCGAAGCCAGCCTGTCTCCCGAAGAATACAAGCAGCTCGAGCGCCGCGCACGCCTCAAGGTCGACTTGCAGGTCGTGCCGCTGTGCCTTATTCTGTACCTGCTCTCGTTTCTCGATCGCACCAACATTGGTCAGGCGAACCTGGAGGGCACGCGGCGGCCTGACGGCTCGATCCAGAACCCGGGCCTGTCGCAGGACCTGGGGCTCTCGGCGCACGACTACGCCATTGCGCTGACGATCCTATACCCCCCGTATATTGCGCTGGAGATCCCATCGAATCTGCTGCTGAAGCGCATTGGCCCACGCTTTTGGATCCCCATGCTGGTCTTGTGCTGGGGCGTGGTCTCGACACTGCAGGGCCTCGTGCACAACCGAGCGGGCCTCCTCGCCGACCGTTTCTTCCTCGGCGCGACCGAGGCCGGTATCCTGCCTGGTATTGCCGTGTACCTCACATTCTTTTACAAGCCGCGTGAGCTGCAGCTGCGGCAGGCGCTCTTCTTCACCGGCGCGTCCCTGAGTGGTGCTTTCTCGGGCCTGCTCGCGGCGGCGATCCGCAAGATGGACAACTTACCGACAGGGCATGCCGGCTGGCACTGGATCTTTATCCTGGAAGGTATTTTTACCGTCCTCGTCGGGTTTGCCTGCCTGTTCCTGCTGCCCAACGACATCAAGGGGTGCTGGGGCCTCACGCCCATCGAGCGCCGCCTGCTGGAGGAGCGTCTGCAGGCGTCGTCCAACCACTATGTGGAGCGCCAGCCGCTGCAAGAAAAGCTCCTGGAGCAGACGGCGGAGGATGCCGAGACGACCGTGAGCAAGCCGGGAAGCCACTGGCGGCGCGATACGCTGCGCACCTTCACCGATCCGCGCCTGCTGCTCATGTGCTGTGCTGGCTTTTGCTGCGCGGTGCCCGTGTACTCGATTGCATACTTCTCGCCCGCCATTGTGCAGAATATCGGCAACTACACGACCATCAGGACAATGCTCATGTCCTGCCCGCCCTTTGCCATCTCGTTCGTGTACGCAGTGGCCATGTCGCTACTGTCCGACTACCTGCAGCTGCGTTTTGTCACGGCGTTCCCGGGCATGCTCCTTTCGGTCATTGGTTTTGCCGTTATCTACGCCGCGGAGGGCTCTATGACACGCTACGGCGGCCTGATCATGCTGACGTGCGGTGCGTATTCGCTGCCGCCCGTGCTGTTCGCATGGCTCGCGAACAACTCAGCAGGGCACTACAAGCGCGCAACGGGTCTCGCGCTTATGATCGTGTTCACCAACTGCGGCGGTCTCACATCCTCGTGGCTCTTTCCCGCGGCTGAAAAGCCTAAGTATACCCGAGGGCTCGCCACCAATATCGCCATGTCAAGTCTCGGCGCCCTCCTCATCGTGGTTATCGAGCTGCTCATTTACTACGAGCGCCAGCTGCGCGCTCGCGGTAAGCGCGATGAACGGGTGCTCACGCTGCATCGCGATACACAGTGGCAGAGGGCCCAGCTGCGCGAGTACCTCGGCGACGATCACCCAGAATATAGGCTCGAGATGTAGATAATGCCGGATGAGATAAGCAATATGCGGGCTCCTGTCGGGCCAAGATCGGTACGGGTGAAGCGTGCGTGCTTGGCCATAGCCGGAGCGCCTGTGCCGCTGTGACGGTGGGCGGCCATGTCAGACAAGGCGCTGGAGGAAAGCAGCGAACTTCCACTGCATGAGACGCTGTCCCCTGAAGAGTACAAGCGGCTAGAGCGCCGCGCACGCTTCAAGGTCGACTTGCAGATCGTGCCGCTGTGCCTGTTATTGTACCTGCTTTCGTTTCTCGATCGCACGAATATCGGACATGCCAACCTGGAGGGCACGAGGCAGCCGGACGGCTCGATTCAGAACCCCGGTTTGTCGCAGGACCTGGGGCTCTCGGCGCACGACTATGCCGTGGCGCTCACCGTGCTATACCCGCCCTATATCGTGCTGGAAATCCCGTCGAACCTCGTGCTCAGACACATCGGCGCGCGGTTCTGGATTCCCTTCCTGGTAGTTTGCTGGGGGATTGTGTCGACACTGCAGGGAATTGTCACGTCGAAAGCAGGACTCCTGGTCGACCGTATTTTCCTCGGTGCTACTGAGGCTGGGATTCTCCCGGCCATTGCCGTGTACTTGACCTTTTTCTACCGGCCGCAGGAGATGCAGCTGCGCCAGACGGTCTTCTTCACCGGCGCCTCTCTCGCCGGCGCTTTCTCAGGTCTGCTCGCGGCCGCCATTCGCAAAATGGACAATATGCCGACGGGCCATGCGGGCTGGCGCTGGATCTTTATTCTCGAGGGCATCTTCACCGTGATCGTGGGCGTAGTGTCGTGGTTCCTGCTCCCCAACAACCTCTCCGAGTGCTGGGGGCTCACAGCGCTCGAGCGCCGCCTCCTCCAGGAGCGACTGCTGCTGCGGTCGAACCACTACATCGAACGCCCGGAGCTGCAAGAGAAGCTCCATGGTGCCCCCTACGCCGGCGACGAGGGCCGCGCGCCGCCGCCGAACCTCTGGCGCCGTGATACGCTGCGTGCGCTGTGCGATGTGCGGGTATGGCTCATGTGCTGCGCAGGCTTCTGCTGCTCCATGCCGCTGTACTCGATGGCCTACTTTTCACCGGTCATTGTGCAGGACATTGGCGATTACACATCCGTCAAGGCCATGCTCATGACCTGCCCTATCTTTGCTGCCTCGTTCGGGTACAGCGTGCTCATGTCGCTCGTGTCAGATCGCCTACGCAACCGCTTCGTTACGGCGCTGCCCGGCATGCTGCTCTCAGTGATTGGGCTGGCCGTGGTCTATGCAGCCGAAGGCTCCATGACGCGCTACGGTGGCCTCATTATGATGGCGTGCGGCTGCTACTCGGTGCCGCCGCTGCTCTTTACGTGGCTCGCCAACAACTCGGCCGGCCACTTCAAGCGCGCCACCGGCCTGGCAATGATTATCCTCACGGACAACTGCGGTGGCCTTGCATCCTCGTGGCTATTCAACAAGTCAGAGAAACCCAAATACACGCGCGGATTGGCCTCGAACCTGGCCGTATCAGCGCTCGGCGTGCTGGTCGTCATACTCATTGAAATCCTTGTATACTATGAACGATCTATGCGTGCGCGCGGAAAGCGCGACGAGCGGGCGTTGCAGCTGCAGCGCAGCACCCACTGGACGCCCGAGGAGGTCCGTGAGTACCTTGGTGACGACCATCCCGAGTACCGTCTCGAGCTATAATTACCCGTCCAGTAGCTTATGGATGTTCGTACCCATCCACGAGATGTACTTGGCCCAGCGCGGCTCAATAAAGACGGCGTGCGCCTCTACCATCACCTGGCGGGTCTGAGGATCCAAAAGGCTGCCCGACACGAAGCACTTGCGCCCGACGCTTTCCGTGATCCTTGTCTCCACCAGGTAGAAGCGCTCGGCCCGCACCGGCTTACGGTAGCTCAGCTCCAGCTTGCCAGTCACGCCGAGACGGCTCGGCAGACCATAGAAGGCCGTGCGGCCGAGGGCCTCGTCAAACACCGTCGCCAGCAGGCCGCCATGCACGATGCCTTTGTAGCCACACATGTTCTTGCCAAAGTGCACGACGACGAGGCCATCGCCCTCCATGCCGCCGCTGCGCTGCGCACCGGCCGGCGTCTTCGAGAAGACAAACGGCATCACAGCAAATTTGTGGGGACCACGCAGCGAGCCGGCAGTCAGCATCGTCTCCAGCAGCGCAGGGTCACCGCGAGAAAAGGGACGCTGGATCACGTAGTCGGCCACCTTCGGATCAGCGAACGGCACGCCATACGAGACACCGTGCGCCTCGCGCAGGCGCTTCGCCGACGGTGTCTCGTACGAGCGGCTGATATGCTCCACCACCGCCGGCAGCTTGTGCAGCGCCGTCTCAATTTCATGCACATGCGCAAGTTCCTCCTCATCTGATATAGGCGATGCGCTGGAGGAGTAGGGCGAGAACAGGAACGGAATGGCCGCTGGCGGGTACTTGGCACCGACAAAGTAGCAGGCGCCTGCCGCCAACGACAGGGGCAGCACCCTCAGCCACGACCGGCGTTGGGGGGTAGGACGCTGCGTCGAGAGGCGTCGCACTGACATGCCCCACTGAGCCTTGGGGGAAGCGAGCATGGAGCAGCGAACACACGCACGGATCATGGTCGGCGTCGACACCCGGCGGAGCTGCTCCGCACCGGCGATCACGATGACTAAGCACGCCGGGCTCCACGTCTGCGCGCCTGGGGACGCCACCAAGCAGCGACGATGGGCCGCTCGTACAACGGCGGTGCGGCATCGGCTGGCGAGTCGCAGCCGAGTCGGGATGTGCAGTCATCGGGACCGAACGCGCTGAATCACTCGGAAAAGGATCCAAACGCGCCGGGTGAGAGCGCATCCTTTCGGGATCTGAGCAAGAGTGACCAGCGGGGCTTTGTGCTGCTGACGCTGCTATGTGTGTACAGTGTGACTGACCTACAGACATGCTGCAGGGGATGCCGATTGGCTTGGTGTTCGGCACGATGCCGTTTCTGCTCAAGGCACACGTCGGCTACGCCGACCTTGGCACCTTTATGCTGAGCACGTACCCCTACTCGCTCAAGCTCCTCTGGAGCCCGATCGTCGACAGTGTGTTTGTGGATGCATGGCGTGTGCCAGGCACGTCGATCACGCTGTCGCTGGGGCGCCGGAAGAGCTGGATTGTGCCGATTCAGCTGCTGATCGGTGCTGGTCTCGTCGCGCTGTCGTTCCGCATCGATGCGATCTTGGAGCAGAGCCTTTCGGGCATCTACACCATCACGGCCGTGTTCTTTGCGCTGATTTTTCTCGCGGCCACGCAGGACATTGCGGTCGATGGGTGGGCACTGACGCTCCTTTCGGAAGAAAATGTGGGGTATGCGTCGACGGCGCAGACGGTGGGTATCAACATTGGCTACTTTATGAGCTTTACCGTGTTCCTTGCGCTGAACAGCGCGGAAGCGTGCAACAAGTATTTGCGCTTGCGTCCGCTGAGCACGCCGATCTTGTCGCTGGCGGGCTACCTGCAGATCTGCGGCGTCTGCTTCGTGCTCGTTACGCTATGGCTCCTCGTGTTCCAGCCCGAAAAGAAAGAAAAGGACGATGATATGGGCATCCGCGAGGTCTACTCGAACATGTGGCGTATCTGCCGCCTGCGGCATGTGCAGCTGCTGCTGCTCGTCCACATGATCTGCAAGATTGGATTCCAGGCGAACGATGCCGTGACAGGGCTCAAGCTCGTCGAGCACGGGCTCAGCAAGGAGGATCTTGCGTTTGCCGTGCTGATCGACTTCCCCTTCCAGATGATCTTCGGGTACCTGGTTGCGACGTGGTCGCGCGGCCGGACGGCGCTTCGCCCATGGCTCATTGCATTTGCGTTCCGGCTGCTGTGTGCGGCGGCGAGTATGGGCATGGTGGCAGGCATGCCGCAGGGCTCGGGCCGGATCAGCACGTCCTACTTTTTGATGATCATTGCATCGACGGTGATGAACAGCTTTGCGACCACAGTGCAGTTTGTCGGTATCACGGCATTCCACACCCGCATCGCCGACCCTGTGATTGGGGGCACCTATATGACGCTGCTCAACACAGTCAGTAATCTGGGTGGCACTTGGCCTCGCTACTTTGTGCTACGCATGGTCGAGTTCTTCACCGTGTCGCACTGCTCAGGCCCAGTGGACATCAACATGGAGAAGTTGGACAAGGCGATACGCAGCGCTTATCTCCCGCTGCGGCTCGGCGAGTGCAGCTCCGACGCCGGTCGCCAGCGGTGCAAGGCCCTAGGCGGGCACTGTGTGGTCGAACGTGACGGCTATTACTACACAAGTGCCTTGTGCATTGCCATTGGTGCTCTGACTCTTCTCTTCTTTATTGCACCCGTGTGCCGCCGCCTTCAGGCCCTGAGCCCGGCCGCATGGCGCCTGCCCAAATCCGCCGCACAGAAAGGGAGATAATAATAGACATGTAGATGCGGAGTGGGAATCACGTGAAACTGATGTGGGGAAGCGAAGGCCGGGGCCGGCGATTCTTATCATCATGTCGAAGACCTTCCAAATTGCGGTGCTGCCGGGCGACGGTATTGGCCCTGAAGTTGTAGAGCAGGCAGTTCGTGTGCTGGAGCGTGTGTCGACCAAGTCGACATCGTTCCAGCTGCAGATGCAGTCATACGATTTTGGTGGCGCTGCGATCGATTCGGCCGGTGAGCCACTGCCCGCTGCGACGCTCGAGGCGTGCAAGCGCGCCGATGCCATCCTGCTTGGCGCTGTCGGTGGCCCGAAGTGGGGTGTTGGCAAGGTGCGCCCCGAGCAGGGTCTGCTGGCGATCCGCAAGGAGCTGGATCTGTACGCGAATGTGCGACCTGCGCTGTTCCCGTCCGAGTCGCTGCTGGACCGCTCGCCGCTGCGGCCCGAGGTCGCGAAGGGCACCGAGTTCATCGTTATCCGTGAGCTCGTCAAGGGTCTGTACTATGGCGACCGCCAGGAGGCGGACCTCGATTCGCCAGACTCGAAGGGCGAGGCGTACGATATGATGGTGTACAACAAGGCGGATGTGCAACGCATCACGCGCCTTGCCGCGTACCTGGCCCTGCGCTCGTCGCCACCTTCCAAGATCCACTCAATCGACAAGGCCAACGTGCTGGCAACGAGCCGCCTGTGGCGCCGCGTCGTCACGGAGACGATCGAGAACGAGTTCAAGGACCAGGGCCTCGAGGTGGACCACCACCTCGTCGACTCTGCTGCGATGGTCATGGTGTCGAACCCCCGCAAGCTCAATGGAATTGTGCTGACCGAAAACATGTTTGGCGACATCCTCTCGGATGAGTCATCGGTCATCCCGGGCTCGCTGGGTTTGCTGCCCAGCGCGTCCCTTTCGGAACTGCCTACAGGTGAGGCACCCTGCAAGGGTCTCTATGAGCCTATCCACGGCTCTGCGCCGGACATTGCGGGCCGCGGCATCGCGAATCCCGTCGGCACGATCCTCTCGGCGGCGCTCCTGCTCCGCTGGTCGCTGGGTCTCGAGAAGGAGGCTGCGGCCATCGAGGCAGCTGTCCGCAAGGTCCTCGACGCCGAGGAGACAGGCGGCTTTGGCCTTCGCACTGGCGACCTCGGCGGCAACGCCACGACGTCGGCGGTGGGCGACAAGGTGCTCGAAGTGCTCGACACGCTCCTGTAGATAACGTATCTCGGCCGAAAAATCTAGTGTGGAGGTGTGGGAGTCGTTCTTCGGCGGGAACGATAATCGTCGGACGCGCACGACAGGAAGGCGACGACCGAGGTGAAGCAGTCTAGCGTCATTGACATGTCGGACGAGGGACGGTCTCCGAGTCCGTCTGAAAGTTCTCGCTCGAGGAAGTGCGAGCAGGCTAAAGTGCCCAAGCGTCGCGCGATGTCGAACGACTCGGTGTATGAAATCCGCCGCAGCGATTCGTTCGCAAGCTTGCGTGCGCTCGCGCAGCTGATCGACAATCGTTCTGGATACTATGAGGAGGTGCGTGTGAGTGACGAGGACATGCGCACCCTCAAGAGCTCGGGTCTGCGGGCCTTTTACGAGGACCAGAACGAGGTCCTCGATGGGTGGCGCGAGGTCGACGAGGTGCTCGAGAGTCAGTTTCCCACCGAGGTGATGCGGCGCTTTGCGCTGCCCCACTCGCAAAACTACGGCACGATCCACGGCTTCGAGTCGCATCACGGCCTCAACATGCGCAAGGACTACCCTCACCGCCACCCTGAGGACTACGAGGATGGCTTTGCGACCGACGACGACGAGTATGTGGGCGCGCACCCGTTCTCGCAGCACTCGATGCGGCGCACGCGGCGCATTAGCGAGCGGGCATTGACGCACATGGCCGGCGTGATGGCCCGCGGCTCGCGCGTGGACCTCGCAGCCGAGAGTTTGCAGGACTTGACGTCGTCCGGCGTGATCAGTGAGTCGCTGCGCGACCGGCCGAGCCTGGCCGACGTGCTGGAGGACCCGGAAGGGGGCGACGACGCCGAGACCAAGAGTGCCAAGGGCGGGGCCGACTGCACGCGCCCAGCCAAGCTGCAGCAGAGCCGCTCGACGCTGCGGCAGCTGCTAGCATCGAACCCTGCGGTGCAGTCGCCATGCCAAGAGGCACCGCCGGCCCCGGGCGACTCTCAGCCGACAAGCGAGCCGCCTGCGACGGGTCCTGTCGCAGGGCGACCGGCAGGGGCTGTGTGGACGAAAGCAGACCATGAGCAGGACCAGCTCCTGCAGAATGTGCCGACACACCAGCGGAAGCAGGACACCGACGCATTTGTGCAGCTGTACATCAATATGAACCTGCTCGTGAATTTGCTGCTGGTCGTAGGCAAGGTCATTGCGGTGCTCTCGTCCAACTCGGTGTCGCTGCTCGCAAGTTTGGTCGACAGTGCGCTGGACCTCGTGTGCACGGTGGTGATCTTCATGACGTCGCGGGCATCGGCATACCGCAGCTGGCACACATTCTACAAGTACCCGGTCGGCAAGCGGCGGCTCGAGCCGCTGGGTGTGCTGATTTTCAGTGTGCTGATGGTCGTGTCGTTCGGGCAGGTGCTGCTCGAGTCGGTCAACCGCCTGTATGGCGAGCTCACGAAGTCGGACACGGTCAAGGAACCGTCGCTGCCGATGGTGGGCGTGGTGTTCATGGTGCTCACGATTGTGATCAAGACGGTCATGTGGCTCATGTGCCACAACCACAAGAACTCGAGCGTACGTGCGATTGCACAGGACTCGGAGAACGACGTCATGTTCAACATTGTCTCACTTGTGTTTCCCGTGATCGGCCAGTACCTCGGGTGGCGCCTCCTCGACCCGATCGGAGGTGGGCTCCTGTCACTGTACATTATCTCAGAGTGGGTGGCGACGCTGGCGGACACAACGTCCAAGCTGACTGGCAAGGTCGCGAGCGCCCAGGACGTGAGCCGGTGCCTGTACCTCGTGTCGCGCTTCTCGCTTGTGCAGGCCATCTCGGGCTTCGAGATGTACCATGTGGGCGATACGATGGTCGCGGAGGTCGATGTCGTGCTGCCGATGAGCTTCAAACTGAAGGAGGCGCACGACCTCGGCGAGATCATCACCTACTGCATCGAGAGCCTGACGGGCATCGAGCGGGCCTACATTCATCTTGACTACAACCCGGCCGGCCAGTCCGGCCACATTGGCCGGCGCGGATAGTTTGTATATACGTGGAGGAATGGCGCAGCGATCCGCATGCTTCGACTGCCACGCGTCGCGGGCCGCCCGCTGGGCGTGCCGCGGCCCATGGTGCCGGTGCGCGCGCGGCCCATGCCCGCTGTGCGCCCGTACGCGAGTGCGACGTCGCCACGCACTGCGCGTGCTGGTGGCGTGTCGATCAAGTCGGGTGTCCTTTTTGCCGGGTACGTCGCGGCCACTGACCCAGACTGTCGGCATTCGCCGTCGCCCTGACCGTGTATGGTGTGTGGGACTACTTCGCCGCCTTCCGCGTGTGGCCCAAGGAGTTGCGAGAGCCGCTGCGCGCCGGACTCAAGGCGCGCAACAAGGGCCAGTGGGAGTATAGTGCGGCCAAGTTCCGCGAGGCCCTGCGTATCGCCCACACTCTCGACGATGCAACGATCGGCAGCGACCGCCTGCTCAAGACGACGGGCATTGCCATCGCGCTCGCAAGCGTGCTCGAGGAGGACGAAAAGTGGCAGGACGCCGCCCTCGTGTATGTCGATGCCCTGGACGAGGTCCTGCAGCGCAGCGAGTCGCGCTCGCCACCCGAGAAGATGCGCGGCGTCGCGCTCGCCCAAAAGGTAGGCGAGCTCGCGCAGCGCAGCGATGTGCTGGTCCCGCCATGCCCGGTCGCCGACAGCGACGCGTGCCAGACGAGCGAGCCCGCCGAAGGGTACCTGGCATGGAGCGTCGAGGAGATGCTGCGCCTCGTGCAGGCGCCGCGCAGCGAGGGCCCCGTGCTCCTCGCGGACCTGGACCTGCCCGCGTGGGTCTCCGCACAGGACCTCGGCGCGAGCGTCGAGGCGCTGGGCGCGTTCTATGCGAGCCACCAGCAGGCCGACCTGGCGGTGCCGCTGTACCTGCAGGCCATCGCCACGCTGCTGCCGCCCCAGGCGCAAGGGCGGCCGCCGCCGACCGTCGCCGACCGGTGCCGCGCGGCGATCCTCATGAACAACATCAGCCAGGCCCTCACGCAGACGCGCACAGACACCGAGACGCTGCTCAAGGCCATGGCATGGGCGACCAAGGGCCTCGACCTCGCGACCCTCACATCGTACCGCGCCGGCTTCCTCACGGCGCTGCCGCCCGACGAGCGTGCGCTGCTCCTGCAGATCAGCGGCCACGACCCGCACTCCGTGGCGCCCGTGGCGCCGGTCGTCGAGACGGCCTCCGAGGCGCGCCTCGAGCAGGTGAAGCAGCAGTGCCTCGGCACGCAGTTTGTGCTGCTCTACAACCTCGGCATGTTCTACTCAATGCACAACGACAAAGAGACGGCGCGCATCCTTTTCCAGCGCGCGATGCGCCAGGCAGAGTTCCTGCAGCTGCGCGAGGCGCGCACGCAGTGTGCGCGGGCGCTCAAGCGTCTGGAGCGCGCGTAGCATGGCGCGCATCCTTCGCGCCGTGGCGCTCCCATACACGGCTCGGCCACCCGTAGAATGTACGCCCTGCGACCTGTGCAGTTGTGCGCTGCGCCGGGCGCGGCCGCTGCGTCATATCGAGGTGCACGGGCGGCGGCTCCGAGAGGCCCAGCTCAGCGCGCAGCTCGTCGATGGGCTGTGCCCAGCGCTGCTCCCAGTGGACAGAGAGGAGCGGCGTGCGCACGCCGTGCCCGAGCCGCACGGCCCACGCGGCCAGCGCCACAAGCGACGGCGTGTCGAGGGCGCGCGCGTCGCGCGCGAGCCGCGCGCGCGCGTCGTCGTTCGCGATGCGCAGGCTCCCGCCGAGCGCAGAGAGCACGGCAACGGGCAGATGCATGTGCGCAGCCTCGAAGTACTTGACGACCGTCTCGCCCAGCGTGGATGTGGGCATGCCAAGGAGCACATGGTAAAAGTCGTGCGTCTCGCGGTACCGCTGGATCACATAGCGCGTCTCGTACGTCGGCATGTAGCGCGCCTCGCAGCGGCCATCGGGGCCGACGCGGTTCGCACGCAGCCAGTCGATCCATGCGCGCCCAAACGTACCGGGCGGCAGCTCGGCGAGCGCTGCGGTGTCGACAGTCTGCGAGTTGAGCGACGGGCGCGCTATGAGCAGGCAGCGGCCCTCGTGCGTCGAGCGCATCTGCGCCACTAGGTGGTCGATGCGCGGACGGGACGATACCTGCGTGAGTACAGTGAGCAGGTCGCCGCGGCTCGGGCTCAGCAGCAGGCCCAGCGCACTGCCCGCCCCAAGCAGCGCGCGCTCCCACAGGGCGGGGCGCAGGCCATAGTCCGGTCGCTCGTGTGCCTCGTGTGCATGTGCATGCTGCGATGCCTTGTTCGCGTAGGCCGCGCGCGTCGTGTGCAGCGCACGCGCGCGCGCCACGGATGCCACGCCACCCCGCAGCAACATGGCCGGACGACAAGTCTCCACCTGACGAAATGCCTCGAGAATGCGAGCGGTGTGGCGAGGCGCGTGCAGTGCTGCGCCGCCCCAAGACGGGGCACCTCGTGTGCCGCGAGTGCTTCTTTGTGGTGTTTGAGACGGAGGTGCACGAGACGATCCAGCGTGCGCAGCTGTTCCGGCGGGGCGACCGCGTGGCGATTGGCGCGAGTGGCGGCAAAGACTCGACGGTGCTGGCCTACGTGATGAAGACGCTGAACGAGCGGTACGACTATGGGCTCGAGCTGTACCTGCTGAGCATTGACGAGGGCATCACCGGGTACCGCGACGACAGCCTCGAGACGGTGAAGCGCAACCAGGAGCAGTATGGGATTCCCCTGAAGGTGCTGGGCTACAAGGAGCTGTACGGCTGGTCGATGGACGACATTGTGGCGTCGGTCGGGCGAAAAAACAACTGTACCTTTTGCGGCGTGTTCCGTCGGCAGGCGCTCGACCGCGGTGCGGCGTCGCTGGGCGTGGACCACATCGTCACCGGGCACAACGCGGACGACATGGCCGAGACTGTGCTGATGAATGTCCTGCGCGGCGACACGGCGCGCCTCGAGCGATGCACGGAGATTATCACGCGTGGCCCCGAGGGCGACGACGGCGCGGCGGGCGGCTGTGGCGGCGGCGAGGGCGAGTTTGGCGGCAGCGGTATCAAGCGGAGCAAGCCGTTCAAGTACGCGTACGAGAAGGAGATTGTGATGTACGCGTACTTTAAGCAGCTCGACTACTTTAGCACCGAGTGCATCTACTCGCCGAATGCGTACCGGGGCTATGCGCGGGCGTTCCTCAAGGACCTCGAGAGCCTCCGGCCGTCGAGCATCATCGACATCATCCACAGCGGCGAGAACCTGCACGTGGACAGCCAGGTGAGGCGGGCGGTGCAGCGTACGTGTGTGCGCTGTGGCTACATTTCGTCGAACGAGCTGTGCAAGGCGTGTGTGCTGCTCGAGGGTCTCAATCGCGGCAATCCTGCGATGGGGATCCGCTCCGACAAGTCGCGTGTCGTGCGTGAGGCGCGGCAGGACGGCGAGATTGGGCACACCATCCCGCGCTGGGAGGGCGTGCGGCGCAGCGCGCCAGCCTCAACGGCGTGGTAACTATGCATGATGTACACTATCGCTTGAAGATCGTAACGCAGTCTTCGTCTTCCAAAACGTGGTCGCCGCCCACGCGCTGGCCACGGGGGTGCTTCGCCGAGGTGCCCCACACCACCGCACACTTGAACTGCTTGAAGATTTCGCGGTGGATCGCATTGCAAAAGTCCTCGACGGTGCACTTGCCGCGGCGCAGCACGACCGGCGACGTGTAGTCGGGCGGGCTCTTGCGCGGCTTCGTATATACGCGCACAAGATCGAGCTCCTCCCACATCTTGTCGACGAGCTCGTCAACGTTCAGCCACATGCGCGACGAGATGGGCACCGAGTTGGGGATCTTGTACAGCAGGTCGAGCTCCTCAATCGAGATCGAGTCAATTTTGTTCAGCACGTAGATGCACGGGATATAAATGCGGTTGCCTTCGATCACATCGATCAGCTCCTCCACGGACACGTCCTCGCGGAACGCGATGTCCGCATTCGAGATGCGGTACTCGGACATGACAGCCTTGATCTCATCGTGGTCCAGCTTGGTCAGCGGCACAGTGTTGGTGATGGCCAGGCCACCCTTGTCCTTCTTCTTCACAATCACATTCGGCGGCTTCTTGTTCAGCCGGATGCCAAAGCCCTCCAGCTCCGCCTCCAGGATCTGCTTGTCGTGCAGCGGTTTGCCCACGTCCAGCACGATAAAGATCAGATTGCAGGTGCGCGCCACCGCAATCACCTGGCGACCACGACCCTTGCCGTCCTTCGCTCCCTCGATAATACCCGGCAGATCGAGGATCTGGATCTTGGCCCCACGCACGGTCATCGTGCCTGGCACCGTCGTCAGTGTCGTGAACTCGTATGCCGCCGCCTCAGAGGTCGTGCCGGTGAGGCCTGACATGAGCGTCGACTTGCCGACGGACGGGAAGCCGACGAAGCCCACACTCGCAATACCCGTGCGCGCCACATCGAACCCAATGCCGCCGCCGCCGCCACCGCCGCCACTCGGCGTAATAAGCTCACGCTTCAGCTTGGCGAGCTTCGCACGCAGCTGGCCCAGATGGTAGGCCGTGGCCTTGTTTTTCTGGGTCCCTGTGGTTAGATATGCTACACGTACGGGCCATCTCATCTTCGATTTCCTTGATCCGCTGGACCGTCGACTGCGCTGTCAGCAAACGTAGAGCGACGTACCATCTTGGCGAGACGACAGTCAAAAGCGTGCACGAAGAAAGACATCTTTCGCTCGGCCGAAGGACGACCACGCGGCGGAGGTCGCATTAGCTTCTCTGAATGGTCCTACGAGTCCGTCCCGGGTCGTACGGGGCGCGCACTGCTGCGCCGCCGTCCATGCTCAAGCTCGTTGTGATGCTGCTCACGTATGGACTTCACATACTGGCAGCCACAGTGCGTGGCTCGCCCGTGGATCCCGGGGCCGTAGTGATGCGCTCGGTGCCTGAAGGCCGCGGCACGGACCACGGCTCAGTCCCGATCGAGCATGGCGACCCGTTCAAAAAGACGTTTGATATCATCATGATTGTGGGGCTTGTGCTTTTGGGCGGTGTCTTTGCCGGCCTCACACTTGGCCTCATGGGTCTCGACATGATTAACCTGCAGGTCCTCATGACGTCAGGCTCGGACCAGGAGCGCAGGGATGCCGCTAAGGTCATGCGCCTATTGGAGCGCGGCCGCCACTGGGTCCTGGTCGTCCTCCTCCTGGGCAACGTCATTGTCAATGAGACACTTCCGATCTTCCTCTCCGAGTTCGGCTCGGGCCTCTCGGCGGTGATGATCTCGACCATTTTGATTGTCATCTTTGGTGAGATTGTGCCGCAGTCGATCTGTGCGCGGTACGGGCTCAAGATCGGCGCGGTGTGCGCACCCCTTGTGCATGTCGTCATGATCCTCCTCGCCCCCGTCGCGTGGCCAACCGCCAAGCTGCTGGACTACTGCCTGGGCGAGGAGCACGGCACGACCTACCGCAAGGCCGAGCTCAAAACGTTCGTGTCGCTGCACCAGCAGATTGGCACAGAGAACCTCAACGACGACGAGGTAACGATTATTCGCGCGGTCCTGGACCTGAATGAGAAGACTCTCACCGACGTAATGACACCCATCGAGGACGTGTACACACTCCCTATGGACTTTGTCCTGGACGAGGACGGTGTCCTGGAGCTTGTCAAATCAGGCTACTCGCGCGTGCCGATCCACGAGCCCCACCGCCCTGATGCGATCCTGGGCATGCTGCTCGTCAAGCAGCTTATCCAATACGACCCGGAGGATGCCTGGCCCGTGTCGCGCTTCAACTTGATGCCGCTCCCCGAAGCATCGCCGGACCTGAATTTGCTCGATGCAATCAACTACATGCAGTTCGGCCGCTCTCATATGATCCTGGTGTCGAAGCACCCCGGTGAGCCATCCGGCGCCATGGGTGTCGTTACGTTGGAGGATATCATTGAGGAGATGATCGGCGAGGAAATCGTGGATGAGACCGACGTGTTTGTCGATGTGCACAACAAAATCAAGGTCGTGCGGCAGCGCACACACCAAGACAAACAGGAGCAATGGCAGCCGTTGATTCGTGGGATCATCGAGCGCCGTCGCAAGTATGGCGGCCCCAGCCAGGCGCCGCTCCACCGCAGCTTTGGCACCATGAAGGAGACACAGGGCAGCAGCCACCTCCGCCCGCACAAGTACGGTGTGATCCCCGTGACCAAGGCCCGCGACAAGGTGTGGACCAAGAAGCCGGGCAGCTATCGCGACTATGACTCGCAGAGCGAAACGTCGCCGTATTTCCATGGCAAAAAGCCCACAACCCCAAGCTCCATGGCGTCGTCCACCGGCTTCACCGACTACAACGAAAGCCTTCCATCATGTTCGCTCAACTTGTCCGAGTCAGAGCGTCGATGCGAAGCGAGCGGCCCTTACATTGTGGAAATGGGAGGCGGTCAGCCGCGGGTCCTCACCGTGGCTGATGTAAATGAGGAGACAGCCCGCGACCAGCGAGTGCGCTCCGCCGCCAACAAGGCATCTTCGAGGAAGGAACCAGACTCATCGCAATCTCAGAACGAGTAGTAACGTTTACCCTCCATGCAGCGTGCTTATGAAGACGACCCGATCGCCAGGCTGCAGTACGTAGTCCATTTCCCCTTCGAGTTCCCAATCGCTGTCATTGATCAGAACGAGAATCCCTGGCCGCACACGATCGCCCTCGACAAAGAGCTCTTCCCGCTCCTGGATCATGTGCTCGCGAATGTGGGCCACCAGCGCACGCACATCCGGCAGAGATGATCCGTTCGACGGCACATCCACACGATGCACCTTCTCATGCGGGGGCGCAAGAAGCAGCTCCGTGCCTCCGCTAGCCGTGTCAGCCAGGCAACACCTACCCAAATTCCACCATCACAGGCACGCTAGGTACGACCATAGCAGCAGTTGATAGGCTAGATTCTCCACTGTGACACCGTTTTCCTCGAGAAATTTCGTCGACAAGGCGATGCCCCGTCAAACGTCGAAAGAGCCAATCATATTCTGGTCTTATTTTGCATGTCTTGAAAATCCAATCATTGAGCCGATCTGCACGATCATAAAGGTAGATTTCGTGCCTACGGAAAATCAACCCATCAGAATTTGACCGTTGTACATCTACATCTAGACACGACAGCTGCACATCAGCGGCTCCTCACTCTTCTTTCACCTTCGTGTTGTTGCCTGAAAGTCACTTGTAGGTGGCACATTCTTCCCGTCTGGTACGTGTTGTGGCACACTGATAAGGTAGTGTGACTTTTCGTGTGTACATCATGAAGCAGACAGCTTTCCTGCTGTTCCTGAGCTTTGCCAGTGCCCTGCCGGCCTTGGCCCAGAGCGGCGGAGGTGATGAGCAAAAGGACTCGTCAACTCAGGCCATCGTTTCCTCGATTATTCTGGCCATTATTCTTTCATGCATTTTTCTGATCGTGTTCTTAATCTTGCGACCCCGTTATCCGGCTGTGTACCAGCCGAAGTCGTACCGAGCCAAGCCAGCTTGGCGCAACACCGAGCCGCTTCCGAGCAGCACGTTTGGCTGGATTTCTCCGTACCTGCGTAATCCCGACAAGGAGATTCTGCGCATTAACGGTCTTGATGCATACTCGTTTATTCTCTTCATTCAGCTGATGATTCGCATTTTCGTTCCTATTTGGCTATTGTCGTGGGTGGTGCTGATGCCTCTCTATGCCGCTAATATTGAACATGGCAAGGGCCTCAATATGTTCGCATTTGGAAGTGTCATTGGTGCCTCTTCAAAAACTCAGCAGCTTCGCAGCTCTGGTGTGTTGATTTTGCACTACATCCTGGTTGCCTGGGTTGTGTACAACATCCATGCAATCATGATGAAGTTCATGGAGCTGCGCAAGGAGTTTTTGACCTCGCCTGAACATCGCAACACGAACCAGGCCAAGACATTCTTGGTGACTGGTGTGCCAAATGAAATGCTCAGCGAGACCCGTATGAAGGGGGTGTACGCTGATATCCCGGATGGTGTCAAAAAGGTGTGGATCAACCGCAATCTGAAGGAGCTTCCCGAAATGATCGAAGAGCGTGACAAGAACGTGAACAAGCTCGAGGGTGCCGTGTCAAAGCTTATCAAAACCGCTGCCAAGAACGTGAAGAAGGGCAAGGTGGAGCCTATGGCCCTCTCTGAGACACAGGAACCGTCCTTGGAAGTGGCTGAGCACTACGTGCCTGCTAAGAAGCGCCCTACTCATCGCCTTGGTAAGATCCCCTGTATTGGCGAGAAGGTGGATACGATCAGCTACTGTCGCGAGGAGATCATGCGCCTTAATCGGGAGATTTCTCAGAAGCGTGAAGTGGTTCTGGATGACTACGTGAATTACCCGCCGGAGAGCAGTGCCTTTGTTCTATGTAACACGATGCTCGGTGCCTACACGGGCTCCAATGCCAAGGTTCACCCGGAGCCTCACAAGCTCGCCAAGCGCTATCGCGAGGTGCACCCAGATGACATTGTGTGGACGAACATGAACAGGAATCCATATGAGCGCAAGGCCCGAACCGTCGGTTTCTGGGCACTTACAATTGCTACCATCATCTTCTGGACGATCCCGATTGCACTTGTGTCTCTGTTCTCCAGTGTGGATTACCTGCAGAAGAATGTCAGCTTCCTGAGCTGGATTGAAAACTTGCAAGTGGCCTCGGGAATTCCCCTTGGTGTGATCAAAGCCGTCCTTCCTACGGCAGCATTGGCCATTCTGAACTCTTTACTGCCTCCATGGCTGCGCTGGCATGCGAAGCAGAGCGGTGTACCTACTCGCACCGGCATTGAGCTAAGCCTGATGGACCGTTTCTTCCCCTTCCAGGTGATTCAGAACTTTATTTTCCTGACAATCCTTGGTGGAATTCAGCAACAAGAAGACCGGTTCCAACAAGCAATTCATGACCCGGCCGACTTTGTGGCTACGATTGCCATGGCTATCCCTACACAAGCGAACTTCTTCATGCAGTATGTCATTCTGATTGGTCTCTCAGGCGCTGCTGCCATGTTCCTTCAGTTGGTGCCTATCATTGTCTACTATGTCAAGATTAGGTTCTTGTCGTCGACGCCCCGTAAGTTGTGGCACCTCCGCAATGATATGGGTGCGCCCGCCTTTGGTCAGCTGTACCCTGTGACGCTCCTTATCACTGTTTTGGGCTTCGGCTACATGATCCTGGCGCCTATCATGAACGGATTTGCCGCTGTGACCTTCTTCACGCTCTACCTGGCTTACCGTTACCTCTTCCTGTATGTCTTTGATTGTAAGCCGGTGAACGAGACTGCCGGCCTATTCTTCAAGAAGGCCATCAACCAAACCTTTGTGGGTCTCTATGTCAGTCTGTTTGTGGCCGCATTGATGTACCTGTTCAACTCGGGCGCGAACCAGAACTTTATCGCTATGGGTGTGCTCACCTTAGTTCTGCTTGTCCTTGTGATTGCCTATCAGGTGTACTTGGGTATGCTTTGGAACAAGAGCATGGAGGAGATCCCTTCGATTTTGGCTCAACAGGGTCAACAGGCGCCGACGCAGCAGGCTGTGACTGACGCTCCGGATGCGCCCCCTGCCTTGCCTGAGAAGGATGCTTACTATGCAGACGCCCAGCAGGGCGCCATGGTCATGCAGCCGAGTGCGCCTGCGCATGTGCTTCAGGTTGAGCCGCCGCAAGTGAGCAAGGAGAAGGACGAGACGGAGGAGATTAAGACCATGAATGCATTCTATCACCCCTCCCGCACGTCGATGCAGCAAATCATGTGGTACCCCAATGACAACTACGGCATTGGTCGCTCGCAGGCCCTTGCGGACCAGAAGGCCGGCTATGAGTCCACTACCGAGCATGCGTTCCTTAACGAGAAGAGCAAAATCGATGAGGATGCTAACGCCCCTCCGGGTCAGGATCTTTAATAGGTCAGATGGGCTGGTTTCTTATGGATGCGATCTCATAGTGTCATTTTAATCTCAATTGTGTCTATAGTAGCAATTCCTAACAGATCTCTTGCATTTAGTGGAGGTTTCACGCACGTTTGAAGGCACGCTGCGACTTAATCTCTGGTCATGAGGGAGGATGTCGTAGCGGGCCTGTCCCAGCGGATCTGCGACCACATGAATAGTGACCATGCTGATGCTGTGGCACATTTGTGCATGTTCCATGCTCGACTTCCTCGCTTGCCTCCTTGGTCGGCGATGGAATCTATTTCAGCCACGACTATGGTCCTCCAATATAAAAGCCCTGAAGCCGAATATGATGCCTCGAGCGCAAGGTTATGCACTATTCATATATCCTTCGATCCACCTCTCGAGTCTTCGATGGATGCAAGGAAACGTCTAGTCGCTATGAGCAGAGAAAGTGAAGAACAGAATCGAAACCACTACAAGCAGGTACGTAACAAGTTCTGACAAGAAGCATTCTGCAGAATGGAATATGCAAGTCATTCTCGAGAAGACTGACTATTTCTTGACAAGTATGTTAGAAGAATTTGACATGCAGGTCCTATTACTGTTGTAATGTTAGTGTCGCTGCTGGCAGGCTCTCACAGGGTGATGCGCATGACTAACAGCCCGAGCACTTGGAATGGTATGGCTATGTTCCATACGGCATTCAAGATACTGGCAGCAATCTGCCTCGTGTTTTATCTATGTCATTTGGTCCAACACATAAGTTGTGCATGGGCTAATGCGGCACCTGTACCTGCAAATACGGCTCATTGGCCCTCTTGGCTCTGGACAACGCTGACCAGGCGCACTCTCCCTGCACTCACCTCTGAAACATGGAAAAACCAAACAGTTGTGATTACAGGAGGTTCCAACGGTCTGGGTGCGTCCGTGGCCAAGCTTTTGTTGGAACGGGGAGCCAAAGTCATCTCTTTGGACAAGTCAAAGCCAAGTTTCAAGCATATGAATATGTCAACGTACCACTGTGATGTATCTAAGCAACATGAGCTTACAAGCGTTGCACGAAGCATCATATCTACACATGGCTCTCCTACTATCGTAATCAATAATGCCGGAATGAGGAATGGCCTTCCCTTGCTTGCGCTGCCAAATGATGCACTGAGAAGGTATGTATATCTGTCCTCATGTTGTTGTACCATCGAGACAAATACTTTGGCTCACTTTTGGATCTTGAAAGAGTTCCTCCCCCATATGGTTGCAGAAAAAAAAGGTCATGTCGTGACCATTTCATCGTTACTGGGATATACAAGTGTGGCACAATTGAGTAAGTACATGCAAAATTAATTCTTAGCGGACTACGTTGCATCGAAGCATGCCTTAGTGGGGCTGCACGAGTCACTGCGCTTCGAATTGGATACAATCTACAGGACACCTTATGTTCGTACAACGCTTGTCACAACGGGGCAACTGGATGAAACAAACATGTTTGCAGGAATTCAATACAACCGCCTTGCCCGCTTTGTTGCTCCCTCTGTGCAGGTAGGGAGAGTCGCTAAAGCCATCGTGGATGCATTGGAGAAACAGGAGAGCCGGACTATTATAATACCTTGGTATGTGGCAGCAGCGCCACTTTTGCGAGTACTGCCGTCTTTTCTCCATGATGGGATACAACGGGTACGTCGGGAGCTACTGATGAATAGGCATTGGGCGCAAATCATTCCATGTCTTCGCTGATATCTAAACAAAGAGAAAGGACTACATCGACTTCCTAAATTGAATCAGCCGGGGTATCTAGTGACTAATTTACGATTGATCGGGTCGTGAGTATAGCGCAAGTAGGGACGAACTTGAGTAAAGCCAGGAAATTGCTTGCTTGCTTGTTCATCTGACACGCTTGGGTGAATTATCACATTTTGGCCAGGCTCCCAATTGGCAGGCGTAGTGACAGATTGCTGATCAACAAGTTGAAGAGAATCAATGATACGTAAAATTTCATTGAAGTTGCGCCCCGTAGATGCAGGATAGGAGAGTTTCAGTCTAATAATGTTGCGGGGGTCGATAACAAATACATCCCGGACTGTCAAAGGGTTTCCCAACGCATCCACATTAGTGGGGTCCAAGGCATCCAGCATGTCATATTGTGTGGCAATCTTTCGGTCAGGGTCAGCAAGAATAGGAAATGTGACTTCGTGTCCTGCAATAGCTTCGATATCCTTAACCCATGATTGATGCGAGTTCACGTCATTAATTGACAGCCCAATGACCTTCACCCCACGTTTATGGAACTCATCGGTACAACGGGCAATTTCACAAAACTCAGTCGTACATACAGGTGTAAAATCGTCTGGATGGGAAAAAAGAATGGTCCATGAACCATTCATCCAACTGTGAAAGCGGATTTTCCCCTCCGTCGACTGCGCCTCAAAATCCGGCGCTACCGAACCAAGTCGTAATGCTGTCATACTGGATCATTCGCTAATTTGGTCCATGCACGGGAAGACCCTGGAGAAATGACCAATCACTTAGAATAATGGCCAATCATATGAGTCAAATGGGAAATTGCGGAGTTTCCAGATGCTTCGCACGTGTCTTATCTGGCAACACGGGATTCCCCATAAAAGCCAGTCTGGTGGCATTTCATAGCTTCATACCCTATACCAACAATGTCGAACAGCAACTTGGAAAGCCAGGCTCACGAATTCGCCTCTGACATGTCGAAGAAGGTCGGCAATGCCGCCTCGGAGGCTCAGGGCCACGTGGAGAACGCTGCCCAGCAGAGCCACGGTGCTATCAGTGATGCCGCGAAGAAGGCCGAGAACAGCGTGCCTGAGGCCAAGGAGGGTGGTCACAGCCTCGTTGAGCAGGGTCAGGAGTACCTGAGCCAGGCTTCGAAGTACGTGCAGGAGCAGTCGCAGAAGCTCTTCAACAGCGAGAGCTCGGCTGCCTCCGCCACCGACAACTCGTCGACTCTTGGTCAGATCAGCGAGCAGGCCCAGAAGTATGCTTCGGATGCCATGGACTCAGTTAGCAAGGCCTTTGGCTCTGCCAGTGACAAGGCTTCCCAGGGTGCTGACAAGATCGCCGGCAACGAGTCGTACGTTGACAGCGCTCGCCAGACCGCTAGCGACGCTCTCGGCAAGGCTCAAGACTACGTTAAGAAGTAAATAATAGCGTCAAACTTGTAGAAAGAATGACAATGTAGTCGATTTGCGGGGTAGTTAGCCTTGTGAGTGGGCCATAAATAATTATTGAACATGGGTCTACTTGTGGAGAGGTTCGTTCCGTCAGACGAGTTTCACTCTGACTATGGAAGAAGACCTTGTTGAAGATGTGCTATCTGCTTATGCCGGGAATATATTAAGCCCTGATGATAGTATAACTTTATCATTAAGGAAGGAAGAGTTGAACGCTGCACCACAATACTTGGACGAAGGTCCTCGCACGTTGATACCTGCTCCCTGGCGACGGCCAGTGACAGTTGATGATAATATTAGTGAAACAAGCTCTATGATTCGGCTAGAAGAAGAGGATCAGCAGGCGCGAGAAGAATGGGATGAGGGTGTTAGACAGTTGCAGACCGCCTTTCAGATTGTTATCATACCATTGGTCGGGAAATGGTTCGGTCGCCGCTGGAGCTATTGGTGTAAGTATGTGGATGGACCATTAACGCTGCAGTATTCTCAAGATATTTCCAAAACTTTGTGTAATTCTCTAAAGTATAAGATTTATACCCCATGTTGCTAGCACGATTGATGCTTCTGTAGCTTTCTTCGCCTAACCTTGTGTCTTTCTATTTTGTCTATATGGGCACTGACCAGTTACTTTTTGTTTGTATTTCCACAGTTCATTATCCTGTTGGAGCAGAGTCGTATCGCTAGAAAGTAGAGTTTGGCTCGGTGTAGTTCAGTCGGTAAACAGTGTTGTGAAACGTGGAGGACGATCTGAGCAACCGAAGAATTTTTTTTCGGTTGATATCTTGGCACGATGAATGAGGAGCTGCCTAGAATAGTGATTGTTGACCACTATGATTCATATACAAGAAACCTCCTTCCGTTAATTTCGTCGTGTTTTGAACCGCCACCCAGCGCTGAACTCCTAAATAATAGAGTTACAGTGATTCGGCATACACATGAAGCGCTCGAAGCAGAAGAGTTCTGTGCGAATTTCCTACCGCATGTGGATGCCTTGATTTTATCACCAGGCCCCGGATCTGCAGAATCCTTATCTGACTTTGGGACGTCTATGTCTCTTCTACAGCATCCAGCATTACATGATTTTCCCATCCTGGGCGTTTGTCTTGGACATCAAGGTATCGCGAAAGCAGCAGGTGGCACAATTGATCAGCTATCGGAGCCGTTTCATGGTAGAAAAAGGGCACTTTTTATGAGTGAGACTGGAAGAACAGACGGACTCCGAAGCATAATGGATGGGGTAGAGGATGGCACCGAAACTATTTGCTATAACAGTCTCATTGTAAATGAAGATTCATTACCCGAATATATTTCTGTTACTGCGAGATCATATATAGATGGTGAAAGCAAGAAAACTATTGTTCAAGCAATCGAGCACAACAAACAGCCGCATTTTGGTGTGCAGTTTCACCCTGAAAGCATAGAATCATGCGCAGGCAATGTGGTTCTTCGTAATTTCCTCCACAATGTGGCCAAGGTTTGGAGCAAGAAGGAACCTTCGAGGGTCAGAGCATGGGCCGATCCAGCTACGTGTCTTCCAGCTCAAATTCAGAGTTTAGGTACATTTTGTGTTGCCCAGGGAAATGCACTTCCGCTTCACGAGAAAAAATGGCGTCTTCAGCAAAAAAGTTGGCCTGCCGCCCAAAGCTTAAGGGAAGTGTTGGCAGTACAGGCTCCTGCATTAATGAAGAGGCTTTTCAGGAGTGATGAAGTGGGGAGTGTTTGGCTAGACAGCGCTAGTCCATTCGATCCTCAAAGCAATGTGTCGGTGATGAGCCACTCGGATTTCGTCTTGACGTATAATATGGAGGGTTGTTTGCAGTTGGCCCTTGGCGGCAACCATAGCCTTCAACAGGTGGATATGGGCAGTCACGAACAGTTTTGGGACTGGCTCGATGAAGTGCAACGAACAATCCAGTCGCAAATGAAAGACTTGTCGCCTAACAGAAGTACGACATTTAGGACTGGTTTCCTTGGCATTTGGAGTTATGAAATGAAGGACGAGTCGCTGAATTTAAAAAAATTGTCTGCGGAGAATTACGAAGGATGTTCTAACACTTTAGTGGATCGGATGGAACTTCCTGCGGCTCAATGGGCGTTTTGCAGCAAAGTGCTTTGTTTGGACCATACTTCAATGACGTGGACTGCATACGCACTAGTGAAAGACGAGGGATATGCGGTAGGCACTCTTGTCCAGCTGGAACAGTTAGGTGCACAGATTGGGGTCCAAGCGCGTGACGCAGAAAAATGGTTCTGTGAAGTTGAAGTTGCGGTGCTGGAAACTAGCAATATTTCAAAGTCGTTGACCCAAGGGCTTGCTCTTTCTGTGGACGCTCTAGATGACGGAGCAGTATATATGGAAAAGGTTGAAGAAGCTCGAAAGCTGATTAGTATGGGCGAAAGCTATGAAATTTGTTTAACTACTCAATTCGAAGGGAGTGTTCCGGGGCTCGATGGCTACGACGACTACTTTTCAATGTACTGTGCATTACGGAGAAAAAATCCGGCGCCATTTGGAGCGTACTTGGAACTCCTTCCTCTGTATGGAAAACCTCAAGCTATTCTCTCTACAAGTCCCGAGCGTTTCTTAACTGTAGCAGAGGACGGACATGTCGAAATGCGCCCCATTAAGGGCACGAAGGTACGGCCAGGATGGGGACCAGGTGAAGAAGACTGGTTTAGCAAGGCTGCTGATCCTGACATGAAAACATTTATGGAACAGGAGGACCGACGACGCAAAATGCAACTTCATAAAGACCCAAAGGAACGAGCAGAAAATTTGATGATTGCAGATCTAATCCGTGCTGATCTGCAATCTGTTTGTTATCCTGGATCAGTCACTGTCCCGAGACTAATTGCCCTGGAGACGTACGAGACAGTGCATCAACTTGTAACGTCCGTCGTGGGTACTCTACGTCCAGGCATTGGCTGTGTCGAAGCTACCAAACGCTGTTTTCCACCTGGCAGCATGACCGGTGCTCCAAAACGGCGCAGTGTTGAACTCATTGAAACACTCGAGCGCCCACTCCATCAGCCAGGAATGAGTAGTCGACGCCGAGCAATGTATTCAGGGGCTTTGGGATTCATTGGCGTTGATGGTGCATCTAATTTATCTGTTGTCATTCGCACAGTTACTGTGCAAGCTAACAATGTAACGGTAGGAGCCGGTGGTGCTATTACGTTTTTGTCAAGCCCTGAGGGCGAGTGGGACGAAGTGCTCACCAAGCTAGGATCCGTAGCTGCACTAGCCACATAGATTACATTTCACCGCATTCTGTCATTAGTGATATAAAACATACCAGAAATGCAAACATCGAGTCGAGGGCGATCGTTCGTACCAGTGGGAACATTCTCAATCTTTCTCACGGTAAGCATTCCTTCAATCACTTTGCCGAAGACAACATGCTTTCCGTCCAAAAATCCAGCAGGCTGCGTGGTAATAAAAAACTAGGTTAGTGAATGATACCGTACTTGGGAGCCATTACTGTTGGGACCTGCATTGGCCTGCGTTAGTAGTGGTAACTCACCATACTGAGTAGACCAGGCGCATCATGTTTTAGCGTAAAGTTTTCATCGGCAAACTTGTCACCATAGATACTAAAACTTCCGGTACCATCCCCGTTCAAAAAGTCACCGCCCTGACACATAAAATCTTTGATTACACGATGGAATAGAGCACCTTTATATCCCATGGGTCGGTGGTTTACACTGATATGAGCTAGAGGTACAAACCGATATTCGCCTGTGCACAATTGCCGAAAGTTTTCCGCAGTTCTAATTAATGTAAGAGATCCTAGCACATACTTAGGTACAACATCAGAGAAGAGCTCAATTTTGATGCGACCGGCAGGGTTGTCTCCAATGGTGATGTCGAAGAAGACAACAGGTCGTCCGTTAGTACCTGCGCCTACGATTGTCATTATGCTCCAGCGTATGTGAACAGATCAAAATTAGACCGATTTGCCCTCCACCGTCTCCGCGTATACGCTCCCACTTCCCATGAGTTTATGGTCCAAACAAGCTCGCTTTCTTACTGGCATTCGGTATAATGCTACGGGACGATACTTTCGCATGCCTCCGAAGGCCTTTCACACAGCTAATAGGCTGCATGTGCGGCAAAGAGCACCGCTACCGTCGTACGTGCACATCACATCTCACTTGTCAGCGACGCCGAAAAGTATGACCCTCTTGTGAACCTTTTAGAGGACGAAAATATCCCTATTAGGATCAATAAAGTATCTTCAATGGGTGTTCAACTTGCTGATGGCCAAGAATATCCGCCGACATGTGTCTTCCTTGATGGTCGCGCGTTTGTATGGACTCCTCCTGCTATCGATAAGACGAAGGCTATGCCGAACGGGCACGGATGGGAAGCATGGACGAACGATATTTGGGTCCTATTTGAGCTGACAACGCCCCGACCAGGTGCGTACATGATTGTCTCACTCTCTTAGAGATCCTGATCCTAGGCACCGGTGACGTGGTTTTACCTGTACCTACGCGTATCAAATCCTACCTGAACTCCCTGGGCATCCAACTGGACGTTCAAAACACTGTATGTTTACCGCTCTAATTTTCAGCGCAACGCATGCTCAACTTTCAACCTCTTATCCGAAGAGGGACGCAAGGTAGCTCTAGCGTTATTGCCGCAGTCCAACTAGCTGTTATCTTTATACTATAAGTTTAAACAGTTTCACATCATAATAGTTAATGAGGTAACGGGAAAATGTTGCACCCATGAAACCAACGCCGATATAGATGACCAGCCGGGGCGCATCTAGTGTCAGTACGAAACACATACCAATGCAAAATCTCTCTTCAGACGTGCAGTGAAGCGTGCATTCAGGCTTCATTGTAGATTTTTTGCTGTTGCGAGTCTGTCCTTTTTGGCTCTTTACTTGAGTACGTAGACGAAGAGAATCAGTGATCGACATTTTACCCATCAGTCGTTGTATAACGAATCTTTTGCATATCCTGTATGATCTCGGGATTCCCGTCTTCAAAATAGGAGTTGCACAGACTTTCCAAGCAACCAAAGGTGCAATGGCTGCTGTCAGAATATACAAGAACGTACCAAAAATAAGCGACGCTACCAATCTCCCTCGAACACTTCGAAGAACCATGAAATTCCAAAATGCGGACATTCTCCAAGTCAGTTCGGACGGTAGAATCGAAGTGAGTCTTCTCAGAACCATATCGAGTCTTTCCATGTCTTCGTAAAAGTAATTGTTTGTGCGCCAGTTTCCAATTGCAACACCGAGAAATGCACCCACGAAGCAGACCACTGTCATATAAGAGTAAAAATGCGCATACCATCATCATAACAAGGGCAGGGCTCCAGTGGAATAGGCTGAATAACCAAAGAGAGACACCCAAGTGCAAAGATTGATAAAGGGACTAGGCATATTAGCTCGTTGCACATACCTAAGGAGCCCCGCCATTGAAGCATTTGCTCGAAGTATGAGTCAAAGGCCAATGCACCAAGTGCAGAGATTGCCCCTATTAAAGCACCAGCAACACAGTCTAGAAGTCAGCGCAATGAACTCACCAATTATGCTATGCATTCCAAGGTATAAACGACCATATATGACCGTGCAAGTATAGAACAAGATCACGAGTTCGGTCAATGGAGATGAGCGTATCAATGTAGACCATCCGTTTGGCTGCATCAATTTAAAGTCAATGAGGAATGATAGCGTTTTCCGAATCTGAATCAGGAAATAGTAAACAGCAATCGACATTCCTACCGCATTGGCAGAATGAGTTGAGGGAAAGCCATATTCTAAATGGTATGACCCAATGATCAGTCGACGCACTGGTGGTGACAATGGTCTCTCAATACAGAAATAGTCCTGGTCTGTTAGTATGAGAGAAACGTCTCACTTTTACAATCGCTGTAAGATATACACCAAGGCCCAGTGTTAAAATTAAACTGGCTTGTCAGCTAACGTCTCGCCATTAAGCTTACATTCGCCCAAAACTGGGCTCCAATAGCAAGTATATCGGAGGCAAAAATAACAAGAAAAACGTATGTGAACCCAAGATAGAAGTATACAAAAAGTACTTGTCCAAGAAAGGATGCATAACGTGCGCCTTTCGGTGTTACATTGGAATCACAAATACACTCAACATACCTGGTGCCGGGCTAAGCTTACAGAAGACTCCCGGACATGGCTCCGAATGGCATTTCTAAGAAGCCAAAGAGCTCCATGATGGCGACGGTTGGCGTCATGGCCAGCACCAGTAGCGTGACGTACCATGTCAGTCAACAAAAAGGAAACAAACAGTAACTCCACAAGCTATATAGACACTGAATTTTCAATTAAAAAATGATCGAATTCTATACAGAATCACATACTAGAATAACCAAAAGAAATCAAATAAAAGTAAAGATATTAAATAAAAATATTACTCAAGAATTATTATTATAAATAAATATTCAGAAGTATCAAAGTAACTGATTTTATTTTCATTTTTAATAAACGCACGAGATTATTAAATTCAAAGAAATATATTTATTCCAAATTATCTCGAATTATAAATGATAATTATTCGTCATATCAATTCATTTAAAAATAATATTTATTTGCTATATCTTTTAAATAAGAATTGATAACATTGTTGCACAATTAATTTTTCATTGATTGAATTTTAATTTTTATGTTGATGAATTTTATATCCTTCGCGACATTTTATTCTATTGATTATTTATGTTTATTTTAAATATCAAAACAATGTTTCTCCACTTGTGCATTTTTATTGACACTCTCCCCTCTCCACATTGTTGTTATGTCGCACCAGTACGTATCGCTTGTGCCTTGAATGAATTCTAATTCAGCAACATATCGTCACTCTCAGATGCGCAAATTCACGAGCTTAACCAGAGAGCTATAGATGAGTCACTTCAATGTCATGTTGGATATTCCCATTCTCTGGTTAGTGCCGAACAGCCTTTAAATTTACTATTGCAAGTATACCATGACAATCTCAACTTCATCGGGGAGATCAAGTGGCTCATTTCGGAATCTCATTACAGTGGAATGTATCAACTTAAAGGTGATGGCAACTGCTTTTATCGAGCCTTTGGATTCGCGTTTATCAAGTCTTTGTCATTGTCTCAAGATCGAGCGTCGCAAGTACGCACTGCTGAACAAATTGAATCAACTTTCCCGCTTCTTGTCAGCAATGGTATTGACGAAGATATCACTAGAGATTTTTTTGAACCCTTTCAAAGCCTGGTCCGTCGCGCGATAGGTTTTCAGACAACGTCGGCTTTAAGCCTTCACGATCTTCTCGAAACTTTTAATGACCCGGAAGCGAGTAATTCGATCGTCATGTACCTGCGCCTTCTCACAAGTACTCACCTCAAGGTAAGTACCAGAAAATTTAAACATTACAGCTAAATGCCGCTGAATACGAACCATTTCTGATTTCCCTGAACGAGAAAGGCCCACTTTCTATGAACGATTTTTGTACACAAGAAGTTGAATCTTTTGGAAAGGATGCGGATCATTTACAAATCACAGCCCTTTGCAGAGCTTTAAACACTTCTTTGGAAGTTGTCTATCTTAATGGACAAAATAATTCAGCAATGAATTTTAACTCCATGACATCGTCGACTTATAACGAAGTTATTCAATTGATCGAGTCTCATCCTTGCAATATTATCTCATTCTGGGATGAGAAGGCTTCACACCACATTGGATCACTGCTATATCGACCTGGTCATTATGACTTGTTGACAATGAAACCTTAGCTCCGGTAGTGTACAGGTGCCTATGAAGCAGTGTGTCAGAACGCTCGGGCCCTATAATCACGTGCCTCCAACTTTTTCATGGATCTGAGTATTTGGTCGTCTCCATCTACGTTCAACTAAAGTGTTCACGCGTTCTTCGTCAACCGCCCGGTGAACGGACACTTCATGGACAGAAGCAAAGTGGTAGAAATCCACCCTGAGAGGGTTGGAAATGTGTCATCTTCTTCATATCCCCATCAAGTACCAGGGGTGTCTGGGGCTTGGGACCTTGAAACATTCAAGAAAAATCTTAGCGTCGCTCTTAGCCGCTGGACCTCGGAGCTATGCGAGTTTGATCTTGTGGGCGTGGATGCAAGTATCGCAAATGCCATTCGGCGCACACTTATGGCCGAAGTGCCCACTGTTGCTATCGAGCATGTGTATATTTGGAATAATACCTCTATCATTCAGGATGAAGTCCTCTCTCACCGTCTTGGTTTGATACCTCTGGCTATTGATCCACGGAAACTAAACTTTAAGCTACAGGATGAGGCGAATGATCAAAATACTGTTGTTTTCACACTCAAGGCAGAGTGCAAAAAGCGCAACACTGGTGATGCAACCATCGAAGGTCGCTACGTTTATTCGTCGATGTTAGAGTGGGATCCTAAGGGTGACCAAGCTGAGCTGATGTCTGATTCACCACCGAGACCCATCCATCCCGATATTGTAATTGCAAAAATGGCGCCGGGGCAAGCCATGGAAATGGAGCTTCATTGCGAAAAAGGCATTGGCAAAGATCATGCCAAATTCTCCCCCGTCGCTACGGCCACATATCGTCTGCTTCCTCTAATTGAAATCTTGCAGCCTATTCCCGAACCTTTAATCCCTAAGCTTATCGCTTGTTTTCCTGAGGGTGTGCTTGAGCGAGGTGGTAAAAATGGGGTTCAGGTCGCAAATGCTAGAAAAGATACAGTAAGTCGTGAAGTCCTTCGACATCCCGAGTTTGAAGGTCTTGTCCGCTTGGGACGTATCCAAGACCATTTTATGTGTACGTCGTGCTTTTGCTAATGGACAGTCTGCGTTGAATCAACTGGTGTATATGAGCCGGAGGACCTGCTTCCGGCCTCTATTGAGGTATTGCGGAATAAAATCGCACTCCTCAAGCTTGCACTAGACGACATGCCGAGTGCATCTCACGTATGATGATAGTCGTCTTCCGTATTTACGTTTAAATCACAATGATCAGGTCGTCATCCCCATTGTCGACTGTTTGTTTGGATTCCAACGATTCTTGTTCCCTGCTCACAGATCTTACTTTCTCTGATCTGTTCGACGGGGGCTTTGATCCGCGCAAATTTGCTCGAGGGAGTGTCTCAGGCCGCGCTGAATGTCGTGCGAGTAACTGGAATGAGCAAAAGAATACATACCCTGGCTGTTGCATCATTTTGCTCCATCCTAGCATTGATAGTAGGCGTTAACTTATGACTCCCATCATTGAGATTCTTTCCCTGTAGCGTTGCCTGAGCAATACTGAGGGCTTTTGCAGCCAAGTTGTTGTGATCCAAGTTATCAAGGAACTTTTTGTCAATATCGTCATTTGATTGTGTCACTGTTTGTACATTCGCCGCACTTGGATTATATTTTCGTGTTTTGACAAGCGTATCCATTTTCCTGAAGGGCAAGTATTCCTGATCCTCCTTTTTTCGCTTCCGCTGTTCTTTCTGTTCTTTCCCTCGTCCCAGCTTCGTGGTAATATCATACATCCTGTTCGCTGGGTCACTCGTATGTCGGGGTCCCTGGGTGGCGGACACCACATAGGTGGGACCTGCCAGCGATGTACCTCCCACGTCCAGCCCGCCCAAGTCTCCTCGTGTGAACACTCTTTTACTGGAACGTTCTCCTTGGAATGGCCTGGATGCATTCATAGGCTGAGAACTAAAAGACGATGTCCTAACGTTAGTAAGGTTGAAAGACGTACGCCGTGGCAAGCTCCATGCGTGACCGCTGTCTGGTTGCCACAGCCATTTCTAGATGCTTGTGGCATACACCGTCGGACCTTCCCTTCAGTACAAAGGCATGACAACGCTTCCCATTCTTTTTCATAGCACAACAGTGGGCATAACTTTCAGCCAGCCCAATCACCAATATTGACTCGGAGGAGCGAGGCGTTATCGTTAACTCTCGCGACGGTTGCTGAATTAGATGTGAATACGTACTCCATTGCGTGGTGGCAAGATTTTTGGATTTAATATGGCCAACAGTACCCCATCCCTTTCTTTCCAGAGTTTCTCAAATGCACTGCGATCACTCTTTGAATGACTCGCATTAGGCCCATCGTCAAAAACTAGCATTCGCATTGAACAATGCCCAGGAAGCTCCCTGTTTGTGTCGACATATTTGGCACTAAGATCTAGCAATCGAGAGCCAAAATATTTGCGCGTCACTTTAGTTGGATCCTCATTATGGTCAGTGTTATCGGCACTTGTAGTGTACTTGAGTTCAGTTTTTTCGCCCATTACGGCAAACAAAACCCAGTCACCATAAAGAGGAATTTCGTAGTTACCGTCCATCATTGGTTTCGTAGTATCACGGGTATAATCTGCAGACGACCCGAGACGACCAGTGAGGGAATACAATAGACTGGGCGACAACGCATATCGACAGTCCATATGGTTCTGCAAGCGCATATGAGTCAAGTACCGTGTCCTGGGATAAGAATAAAGAAACGCACTTGAGCTTTGTCTGTGAGTTTGGTTCCAATCTCTCGAAGTTAAGATCGTCAACAGGGGGTTTATACTGTACAGGGCCTCGTTCCAACTTTTCTAACAGCTCGAGCCGTTCGTTCCTTCCAGTATCACAGACAGGTCGCTGGTCAAAAGATTTGCTTCTAGAATCTCGTAATGATTCCTTCTCTTCACGTTGTTTTTGACGTGTTTGCTCCAGATTTTGTACTTCTGTAGCACATTCACTCAATGAGGTGGAATGGAGGCGTTGCATGTATTTTGCACGATTTTGAGCGTGCTTTAAGGATATCTCGCGAAGTTCATCTACTAATCAGTATTCAGTACGCACCTGCTCCTCTTTTAGTGGATTCTGACATATAATTCTGGCCCACATAGTTGTGCAAATGATCCATTCGAGAGTCCAACATGTAAGAGCCTAGTCGCGTACTGTCAGCACGCGTTGTGTGGAATTAGTCATGCGGAGCGCGCCGGCCCCGATTATCATGTGGAGGTTTGACCCGAGGCGGGCGATCCGACGCACCACTAGCGTCAGTGGCGGGCAATTCATTCTTACTTTCTAAATAGAACTGAAAAGGGCTTGCATCCAACTAGGCCACTTGAAGGCTGTAGGAAAGGCTTAAAATGCTTTCTGCTCCAGATCCCTATCCTTCGGTTTCAAGTCATAATCCTGCTCCTGATGATGCTGAGATTGAGAGTCGTACACCACAAATCTGCGTGGACTATTTGAGCCATAACTGGAAGGACGAAGATGTTTGGAATAGTTGGAAGGCTATGACAAAACGCAAAAACGAGATTGCCAATGGTGTTCGTCTTGAGAATGCCAGTTGGCGAACATGGGCGAAACAGCGCGGGAACCTTAAAACCGTCAGCCCGGAGACACTTAACTGGTACGTCCAAATAAGTTTTGACAATTTAGGTTAAAAGAAAGCGATGTTACATGGCTTTATGGTCCCCTTCATGGTGACGCACCGGCTGTGCCACCACCCAAGGTGGCTTCGACCGCTGAGCGACTTGGTATTGATGTTTTACCTAGAAAAAAATCCATTCTGAAACACCGAACTCTCTCTGAAATTCTTCAAACTCCCATGATGGTATCACCACCTAATGAAACGAGCCATACAGAAGCCATTGTAAAGCCACGAGAAACTGAGGAGGCCGCTAAAGCGGATTCTGGCCGGAAACGAAACACGTCTCTTACGTTGGGTGTGTTGAAATCGAACCGAAAAGATTCTGCTCCTAAAAACCGTCATATTAGTTTCAACACTCTAGTTGAACAATGCATCGCACTGGAAGAAAACCCTCATTCGTATTTCCACGATGATTATTCAGACGAAGATGACGAGACATTTGAACATGAGAACGAAGAAAGTTCCCTTGGTGATAACATCGACTCACTATTGTCTCCTCCAAAATCGTCCAAAAGCATGGACGAGGTCAACAACAAACCTGTCACAATCGCCATTATTCCTCCTACGCATCTCAAAACTGGTCATGAGTATCTTCTTCCTAATTATGACGACGTGCTCTATGGGGATGAAGAGGAAGCTTCTGAACTGAATGCCCGCTACTCGGTGGCAGACGCTGTGGCAGATACGCATGACTTCCCTTTAGATCATGATGATGGGTACGACTATTACGATTCGGACGAAGAATTTGCGGCCGATGAGCCTCCAATTTATTCTCGTTCAAACCCTCGAGACGCTGGTTCTGAAGGCACGTACAGCGCTCAGCTATAAGAACGTTAGTACTAACACGGCGAGAAAGACCTCGCAATGTTAAATAAGTCACCAAAGTTGGATTCAAGCGACGGCGGACGAGGGCGCCCCACTGACGCAAGCTTCCTATCTTCTTTCGATGAAAATGGCACATTGATACCCAAGTCTGGTCCTGACATGACTGAGGAAGATGATCTGATGGTCAATGTCTATAATCTACCTAATGCAGCCTTGTCTGATAAGTCCCTCTCGGAGCATAGTGAGAGACTACCATATCGAGGGGGTCCTACACCATTTAATACTCCCACAGGCCCTTTTTCAGCACGCAGTCAAGATTTAGACGCAAGCATGCAACGTATTTCACATGCATCTGGTGCCTTAGTCGCCCCGCCTCCGTACATGCCTCGAGTCCCACTCGCAGAAGATTATGTGGAAGAAGACAAAGGCGGTCTTATTGCAAGTGCTGTTGAAATTATTAACACAGCGCGTGATCTTTTTGGGGCTATTATGGGCTCGTCGAGTCAAATAGGGAGGTCCTGGTACGATTAACATGTCATAATCTGTTCCGTAGATCAATAACTGTGACCCGATCGCCCGATTTATGTGGCTCGACCGTCCCCATCGTGCCTCAATCTCTTCCGAAGATGTGTAAGTGCATGTCTAGCTTTCATCAAGTGCTAAGAGAACAAGTGAATGAAGATCACAAAATGACACTTATAAAGGGTTTTATTTAAAGGACGGTTTATCTCAGGTCATGCCCCCTCGTCACAGAGATGCAAGACACTTTCCAAGTACCATCTCTTACGGATCGTGCTGATTCTCTATCTTTAGATGGTCATTACATTGACCGGACCATGAAAATCTTGCATATGATGACCTCCCCATATATGTTCACGATTTTCCAAGATCTCCGAAACCACTCTATCAATCTTGGATTAGAAGTTCCGCCGGTTGCACCCGAGACGATTGACCTAACAGCACTAGAACATACCTTTCTTGAAGACGAATTCCACAATGCTGAAGAAACCGTTAAGCCACAGTCTATAAGACTACCCAACTTTGCACAGCTACCACTTAAACTTCCTTCACCGGTTTTAAATACTCCGACCAACCCCTATGATGACCTGTCTCAGCACTTGTGCCGCTTCGGTCTTCATGTCGAGGCACTCGAATTTAGGCGCTCTCACGTTGACTGTGATTTTGTGCTCAACACATTTCTCAGTATTTATCGTACTCCTAATGAAGGAAGTTGTAGCAAGAATGTCCGAAAGCCTGCCCGTGTTACTGAATCTGGTGAGATGCTGATGTACTCCCTACTTGAAACGCTTCAGGTGCATGAGACTACAGTTCGTCGCCAGCTACAGCAGACCTCAGAAGGTCTAACAAAAGTACCGGGTAATGTGATTCTACCGGTGAGCATATGTGTGCCGTGGGAAGAGACGGTGCCTGGTCTGTTGTAATCGACACCGAGCGCTGCTCCTACGCACTTGGCCGCCGTGTGCAAAGAGGCTTCGCGTGTGATCACCAAGTCTGGTCGCCAAATAAACTATAATCTCTCGCCCAGTGTGATTGTGCCGATTCACTGGATTGTGTATGTGCTGCAATGTGCATTCATCCCCACGGATCCGGCGCTTTGCATTATTGCGAAGGGCCACACGCCAGTGATCCCCATTACTGTCCCCTTTCCCCGTCATTGGGCCGTGATACATCGTTGGCTGTATACGCGTGATACGTCAAAGCTACTAAGTTCGCTTGTGCCTCTAGGTATCATCATGAAGCGCATGTCCGAAAACGAGAAGCGCCACCCCAGGCTAGGACATTGCCTTGAAGCTCTCTCAGCTTTCTCGCTCTCGTTCCTTACCGTCTTCCTCGTCAAAATCCGTGCGACATGGTACAACGGGAAGACAGTCGGTGTTTACTCCATGGATTTCTGGAGAACGCTTGCTCAGGCGTGGGATCTGGTGATGGGTGCGGTAATTCTGCGCAAGGGTCGCATGCAAAAGAATGCTACATCTATATCAGCTAGTGCCAGCGAGCGTTCAACGCCCGCAGACGAACTACGGGGTGTGTGATGGCAATGCCAAGGAGGAGGCCCAAGATCGTCATAACTAGCTGTGTTTTGTTGAAGGATGCATGCAGACGATCAAAGGGACCTGATGGTGATGCCACAGTATAGATCCAATCGAGACCCGTAGCAAGGACCAAAGATGAACTTTCCAGGAGCGCGGGTGATGTGACTAGCGCGTCCAGACGCGCACCCAAATGCTCGGGCTTAGTCAACTTCCACTGTGCCTCGTCCGGCAGCCGCACCTGGTAGGGCACGAGACGCTCCTCGGTGTCCGCCTTGCTGGGCTTACCAAGAGGCCGCCGGGGATCGAGCATGCGTCGAGGCAGAAGCACCACCTCACTGCGGTTCGTTGCCACAACAAGGGAGCGTGACGCGACGCCAAGCAAGGTGCGCGTCACTTCGGTAGCACGCACTGAATACGGTAGCACAAAGACTTGCATAAAGACCAGGGGCGTACTGAGTGCAGTCGTTGGCTCGACGTCTGCACGCCTGCCCCACCAACCAGACCACTGGGCGCCTGCTGGTGTCCCGCTTTCATACATCTCAATGGACAACAGTCGCTCGGGCGCTGTCACATCGTCGCTAGTGTATTGCAGCGTGATCCAATTCTCCGCATAAGTAACGAAAGCGCGAGGATGAGACATGTCAGGGACAGTTGCATGGTACAGCAACTGACCGGTCACCGTGTCGATTAAGTAGAGCCGACCCTCCTTGGCAGTTCCATCGTAGGTCACGACAAGGCGCGCCTGAGGGTGCAGGTACTTGTACAACACCGTACGGTCACCGCGCACCTTTCCTGCACTCGCAACGTGATCGCGGCTCAAATCGCGCATAGCCACAATGGTTTCATTGGGCGCCAACTCCATACGCCAAACCAGTGACGCTTTCGCTTTGCCCAACGCCGGGGCCCAGTCGGAGTGGAATGGCTTGTGAATTTGGTAGCCTTCTAGCGCATGCTCTGTGGCTGTCGCGATATGTAGTAGCGCAGCACCAGTCCGATGCAAAATGTGCCCGTCGGCGCATACAAGGCCGAGTCCTCCCTCGTACTGGAACACCTCACGCGCTGTGCCCGGGCAGACGATCCATTCGGAGGCGTCCGGAGCATACTCACCTGTGAGCGGGTTAAGCTCATACATGCGCGTCTCAAGTGGCCGGTTAGACTCAGTAACCTCCGCCACAATGGCGACTAGAGGCGGCACAACCGTTCCGTTGACCATTGTACCGGTCGCCCGAGTCTGCACAAGGTGTGTGATACGAACGATCGGCTCGAGTTCGCCCTCGCCAATGCCGAAGCCTACCAGGCTGCGTTCCCACACAATGTGGGAGCCACCAAGTGTTTGATTGATTCCATACACTTTGCCCTGCTTCGAAGCAGCAAGCACAAGCTGCTCAAAGCCAAAGCGGTCGTGATACAGCGCCACGTCTGACGCTTCGCGAGGCGGTTCCCACGGGAGAAGTGTCTGTGACGCATCGCGCGGACCACCAGCGGTGGGTCCTTTCTTGCTGTGGGTGATCCTATGCCCCAGCAGGTGTTCGAATGCGCGGACCAGTGACGTGAAATCATGGAAACCCTGCGCTTGCATATACTGGGCGCATGACCAAGGGACACGGAGCAAGACCAGCCCATGCCGCAGTACACGCGTAAGCAGCGACTCTCGTTCCAGGACTGCATAAGGTGTTGGCTGCTGGTTAGGCGCCTCGATTGAGACAGCAGCGCGTCCCAGACTCGCATCCGGCAGAGACACGAGCAGTGTCTGGACAGGCTGCGACAGACCTTCCTCCAGGATCCACTGGTGCTCTGTGTCCTTGATGAGCTGCACACTGCCCGAGGATGTGACGAGGGCCATCCGCGCCGAGAGCTGTTGGGGACCGGTCACAGCGACTTCAAAGCTGGCTGCTTGCGCATTGCCATGGCGATCGTGGTCAAACTGGAACGACACACCCGTGACTTGGCCACGGCCGCCCCCGGACTGTGCGTCTACCCAGAAAATGTGCTGGTTCAACAAGCGCTGCGATCGCGTAAAGTACACCCGCATAATATACGCATGGCCCCGGCGGTCGTACGTGCCTTCAAACACCGAGTCGGGTGCCTTCTCGTCCATTTCCCAGGCACTACGCAGGGTGCCGTCCACTTCCACATGCAGAATCTCGGCCGCTGCATCAGCTCGCCTCGCGACAAACAGGCCACGATCTCCAAGACCCACGTCCTGCAGCTTCAAGAACCGGCCGTGGCGTGCCTTTAGCACCTTAATGCCAGGAGATGGCTGGTTGAGGCGGATGACATGCACCGAGCCATCCCTCGCCACATAGGCAATGTGCGGACCACCCCCCGGCCGGGCCTGGAGGGCCTCGGGAATGTGTGCGCGCGGCTTGTAGGGAAGTAGTACGATGGCCTTAAGATCAGGCAAATCGTCGCGCACATCATAACTGGCAAGATGCTCGCCCTTTTGTGAGAGGACAGTGATACGAGGCTGCCACTTATCGCCTACGCGCTTCGCACCCACCACATAAAGGAAGTGCTCGTAGTCGACGACATAAAGTACACGTTGAGGCTCGGAAGGTTCCCATGTCCAAATCCGGTTGGCGTGGTTAATCCGATGGACTGCGTTTCCCACGGCCAGAACCACGTCAGTACCACCTGATCCAATGAACGCGGCATGAATGGGGGGCTGATCGTCGAGGAGTTCCACGGGAAAGTTCTGGTCCCAGTCCATGATGCCCTGCTTTGCGAGCATCATCCGAACTGTGACACCATCCCTGTTCGTGGCGAGCAGCAGCATGTCTTCATAAGAGAACATACCGAGTACATCTTCGTTTTCGTTAAGCAAACGACGCCAGACCATGCTTCCATCGCGGGGGTTCAGCGCACCCACGGAATGTGCCTGTGTCGAAGTGATGAAAGCAGTAGAGGTCTTGGTATTTACATTTTCCGAATCACGAATAAAGCGCTGGAAACGCGGGTGCTTTAGCCGCACCGTCTCGAACGGCTGCGTCGTTGGCGCGCCCAGATACGTCGACAGACGTGTGATCACTTCAGGAGCCGGTTTCTTCGGCTGAAGCAAATGAAGAAAGGCATTTGCGCTCGTATCCTGAGGTACCAGCGAGGCCAGCACCGCCAAACAGAGGAGCCAGGGCAGCAACCGCGCAAGCATTGCAGACAAGGACGTGGTCGCTGGCCGGGCGCGGTTCCTTCCTTATCACGTGAGCTGTGGAGGCGCTCGAACCAACGGCCCGACTGTTGGCCACCACGCCAAAAGCATGTCGTTGCAGGTGAACCTGTCGTCGCCTGCTATTCGCAGCGCGTATGAGAAAGTGCTAGATGGAGTCTATGACTATCTTGTACTGTCATACAAAAAGTTGTCGAATGATTTAGACGTATCCGCGAGTGGGAAAGGCACACTGGATGATCTCTCTGAGGAGTTCTCGGACGGCAAGATCCAGTATGCCCTGGCCCGTGTCGTGGACCCGAACACGAAGCTGCCGAAATTCGTGTTGATCAACTGGTGTGGTGATGGTGTTCCTGAAAGCCGAAAAGGCCTGTTTCCCTCGCACAGTGCGACTGTCGCGGATTTCTTCAAGGTGTATCATGTGTCGATCAGCGCACGCACAGACCTGGACGTGACGCCGGATGCCATCCTGCGCAAGGTCAAAGACAGCAGTGGCAGCAAATATGGTACGGCTAGCTCGCGCGCTTCGGAGCCCATTGTCCCAGCTGGCACATCGTACAAGCCGATTGGCAGACCCGACATTCGTGGTATGCAAGCCAAGGCCCCGAAAGACACGATCACTCCTGTGGGTACTTCCTATACGCCTGCTCGCGAAGAGCTACAGCGTCTCCGTGAGGGAAAGCTGCAAAACCCCCCTGCTCCTCCTGCAGCGCCCCGTCCTTCTGCGCCCCAGCCAAGTGGGCCGCCCCCTCCAAGTGTACCGCAGCCTCGCACAGCGGCTGCCGCACCGCCGCCGCCACCTCCGGCCGCGTCAACGCCACCTGCACAAGGCAGTGATGTTCCACCCAAACCTGCAGACGAAGATAAGATTCAGCCAGTCGGCACGGCCTATACACCCGTGTCACTACCTCGTCCTGGAAAGCTTTCTTTGGACCGAACAAAGATGTTTTCAAAGCCAAGTGAGACGGATTCGGTGCCTCCAGTTCGTCGGTCAACACCCGGGCGACTTACCTGGAGCCAGCGACAAGCTATGGCCAAAGCCGCTGACGAGGAGGCGGAGCTACCGAGTCAGACGGAGGCTACGCCAGCACCCCCTGCCCCCGAAGCGCCTCCTGCTCCGGCTCCTCCCGCGCCTCCAGCTCCTCCCGCGCCTCCAGCGCCTTCTGCTCCCCCTGCACCTGAAGCCCCTCCAGCGCCTCCAGCTCCTCCAGCGCCTCCTGCGCCTCCAGCGCCTCCTGCGCCTCCTGCGCCTGAAGCTCCGCCTGCACCCGAGGCACCTGTACACTCGGTCGACGACGCTGTTGCTCGAATGCAGGGAATGTCTCTGGGCACCTCTGAGGGCCTATGTGCTATGGTTCTCTACGACTACGATGCTGAGGAGGACAATGAACTTTCCCTGCGCGAGGGTCAGAAACTGATCCATGTTGACCAGGTGGACGAAGGCTGGTGGTCTGCTACAGGACCGGATGGATCGGTCGGCTTATTCCCCGCCAATTATGTTGAGCTGTTGGAACGTCATGTGCCTTCACAGGAGGAGCCCATTGCGCCAGAACCACCCGCTGCACCGCCGGCGCCAACTGCGCCACCGGCTCCAGCGGCTCCACCGGCGCCGCCTGCACCTCCAGCGCCGCCTGCGCCTCCAGCGCCTACAGCACCTCCAGCACCTCCGGCACCTCCAGCACCTCCAGCACCTCCAGCACCTCCAGCACCTCCAGCACCGCCTTCACCTCCAGCACCTCCAGCACCTCCAGCACCGCCTGCACCTCCAGCTCCGTCGGCCTCGGCCCCGGAGACTGCCGCGGCTCCTACGAACAGTGCGATTGCCCTGTATGACTACGACATCGATGAAGACAATGAAATTGCTCTTGCGGAAGGCGATCGCATTGTTGACATTGAGTTTGCCAGTGACGATTGGTGGAGCGGCACGAATGAGCGCACAGGTGCCACCGGCTTGTTCCCTGCCAACTATGTCGAGTACCAATCGTAGTGATCTATAGTGGCCCGTGCACCCTACGCGCCTTGCACCTAGTAGGTCTGAACGTGGAGGCGACGGCCGCGCCGCCACGCGTCTTTCGTCCGCCTCACGAGGAGTGAGCGGCACGTCCGGGAGCTCCGGGTACGCTTGCTGGGGATGCAGATGGATGCCGACTTCCGGGCACCACTTTCGCACTCGTTCCTGTCTGATCGCAGTCCCCCCATGGGTCCACACAACGAGGAGCATGGCGAGCGGGGCATAGACTCCTTGGCCCCCGAAACTCTAGCGCGCATCTTTGCATTTCTCGACCCTGTCTCATTGACACGCTGTGCCCGCACATGTCGTGCATGGAATGCAATTGTTTCACAAGATATTACATGGTGCAATGCGCTAATGTGTGCCTTTGGCCTGGAAGCTCGCGAAGAGCGCATCGCTGCGGCAGAAGGCGGATCGGACCCTGCGTGGAAGGCGCTGCGTGTGGCACCCGCTCTCCGCCGCATGCAGCCCAGCTGGAGATCCGAGTATATGGCACGCTCCTCTCTCCTCCGCCGTTGGCGCAAGTCGCGCATGCCGACTGTCCTGACCGACCCTCGCATAGGTGGCGTGGATGCCATTGCCCTCTCCTCCAGCCGCAAGTTTGTCTTGTCTCTGTCCTATGGCTTTAGCATCGCGTCGCGTTCGAACGCACTGACCGGAAAGGTGGCCAAGGACTTTTTGGATGCCCACGGTTTCGCTTCGCACCGCGCCAACGGCCAGCCAGACTTGGAGTTTAGCCCGGCCGCCACAGCCATGGCGACTGATGCGTATGCCTCGCGCATTGTCTGGGGTCTCCGCTCTGGCGACATTGGTCTGACAACGATCGACTGGCGCGGTCAGAGTGCGCGTGGCACCGTGCAGAACCGGTCAATGCCAGCAGGCGCGGCGCACCGTGCACCAGTCTCGGCGATTGGCCTGCCCTGTCCCCTAGGGCGCGGCGGTGCACACTCAGACGAGCGCCACCGCCAGCAGCTCTCATATCTGGGCGAGCTCAGCGCCATGTTTGCGACAGCCTCGGCGGATGGCACCGTGCTGCTCTGGCACCCCAAACACCTTGCGCCGCTGTGTACGCTTTCTGCACGGATCAGCGATCCTAACCATCCATGCCCGCCCCAAGCGCACCGCATCACACACATCGAGTTTGATCCCGTCGGAGGTGTTCTTGCCGCCGCGCGTGAGGATGGTACGATTGTCGTATGGACGCATTTCCCGGGCAGTGCGCTCATGCCCCCCCGTCGCGCTGAGCATATGCCTGCCTCGAACGATCCAGCGCCCTGGATGCGGCATGTACTTGCTGCGCCGCATCCAGGCCAGGTCGCTCATATGGTCCTCGATGCACTGGATGCACGCCAGGGCCGTATTGCTCTCCTTGTCCATTATACCGGCGCCTGTGTATTTTGGCGGCACGATGTGAATGACCAGGGCGCTACGCTCTCCGCCGTGTATGGTGCCCCCCAGGTCTCGCCAATCACGAGCCTGCGGTGCGACTTCGACGTACGGAGCAAGCCACTCGCTCTCCCTGAGCCTATGCGTGCGCGACTCCGAGCGGCCCGCTTGCAAGAACGCAAGTTTGTGTGTGCAGGCACGGCATCTGGTGGCATCGGCGTGTGGGAATGGGATGCACCAGGCGAGGCGTTCGATCCTGAGGCCCAGCGTACGTGGCAGCCGGAGCCGGCACTTGTTTCGCCGGAACGCCAGGTGCGTCCGGCGCATGTATACGATGGCCATCACAATGCCGTGACGGCCTTGGCATGCACGCCCTCGCTGATTCTTGCGGGGTGTGAGGACGGCACGATCAAGGCGCTCGATGTGCTCTCCGGTACGCTCGTTCGTGTTTTTAACGAGCGTGCCGCCAAGAGGCATCCGGCACGGATGCTCGCAGCTGGTGAGTTGACGCCAGAGGAAGCTGCGCGGTTCCGTGTAACACAGATTGTGGCTGCTGATGACATGTTTGTGGCGGCCATTGGTCTGCATGTCCTGTCGTGGAAGACCCACAAGGACGACTCGTCGCTGGCCGCTGCGGCGCCGGGGTCGTCGGAGGCACGCGCCGCGCCGCGCCGCGCCAAAGCTATGCTTCAGGAGCGAGGCCGCCAGCGAGCCGATCTGCACCAGGCCGTCGAGGAGGGCCGGCAGCAGGTGCGCAGTGAGCGTATGGAGCTCCATGCGTCACAGGCGAAGCGGCACGCGCTGGAGTCGAGTATTCACGGCACCTTGGATGAGGACGATGCGCTCAACTATGCACTTATGTTGAGTCGCGAACAGGCGCAAGTCGATGAGGAGCTCTCGGCGGAGCTTATGTACGATCTCGACCTCGATGTGAACGATGGTGATAGCGATGCCGTGCCCCTGTCGCCGCCTCTGCCGCCCCACGATGCGAGTGCGCCCTCTCTCTCTGCGCCCACGTCGCGTGCGTGGGACATTTTGCACACGGCCGGACGCTCCACGACGACGACGAGCGAGAGCCAGCCTGGCTCATGGAGCAAACTGCGCACAGTGTCTGTCCCGCGGCATGCGCGGCACGCGCGCAGCACGTCTCCGTCGCTAGCTACGAGTCCCACCTCGTTTAGCTCTCTATCGTCGTTTGCTGACACGTCGCAAGCACTCGACAGCGAGTGGCCTCACATGCCGTCGGACCCCAGTCGGGCATCGCGCTCGCCCCTCTCGCTGAGTGGGGCGTGGGCGATCAAGTCGCCGACGTTGCGAGCCGTGGACTCGCCGCAGGCGGATAGTGCGCGGCGCGCTGGGCGCTGTGCCCTGTGGGAGCCCGGGCCGAGTCGCCAAGCCTCGCCGATGGACGACGATCTGCGCCTAGCGCTAGAGTTGTCGTTGGCCGACTATGAGGCGTCACAGTCGTCGAAGCGCGACGCGCAGTAGTCTACTATACAATGTTATGCCTCGTCGTCATCCACGACATGCGCCGTCTTTTCCAGGAGGCGGCGCTTTTGCTCGCGCACCTTGCGGGCGAGGCGCAGGGCCTGCTGCAACGGCGCATCGCTGCGGCCTTGCGCCTTCTCAAGGAAGGCATCGACCTGCTGCTGGTCGTCCGGTGCAAACTCGACGTGGGCGCGCTGCTGCACCACCCACGCCGAGTTCTGCTGGATCTTGTCGAGCAGCGGACGCAGCGTTTCCGAGAGACGCACGCTCGGCGAGCCTTTAAGGAGGCGGCGCATCTGCACCGTGATAGGAATCGCCAGCTCGGGGAACGAAATGTGCCCGGCCTGTGTAGCAAGGAACTCGAGCATGACAAAGCCGAACTCCTCAGCGAGCTGGTCGCCATAGATCCGTGTGCGCACGTACGCAGCCGGCGCGCGGAACGTCGTCTCGAGGTCCAGGGGCTTGAGTGTGGCGCCCTTGGCCTTGCGCTGGAACTCGGGGCTCTCCCACACCTCCAGCACGAGCGGTGCCAGCGGGATGTACACGCCCGTCGCCTGCATGAGGCGCAGCATCGCCTGCAGCACGTGCAGTCGCAGCGGGTAGTAGCGCGACATAGGGACGAGACGCACGACGCCCAGCGCCACCTGCACCAGGGGGTAGATGAGCGGGCGCATGTGGCTCGGCACGCCCTGCTCCCTGTCTGTGTGGCATGTCTTGGCGAGCACCCGCGACCAAAAGTCGAGGCAGTGCACGTACGGCCAGTTGAGCACCGCCTGGAACTGCTCCTGCGACTTGAGCTTGAGGCAGTTGCGCAGCGAGATGGCCAGCTGCCGAAGGAAGCCGAACGCCTGCTGGTACGCCGCTTCGGGGTGCAGCGTGAACAGCTCGCACGCGGTGTTCTTCATGAGCGCGATCGCCTCGAGCGTGTGCGGCTTCGTCTGGCGCGTGTGACGGATAAGCGTGTGGTACGTGCTCTTGAGGCAGAAGTCGATCATGTCGTCTTCCATGGCCGACGCAGTCGTCACATACACGCACGAGAAGGCCGCAAGGCGGATGCGGTCCTCGCCATTCGCCCACTGCTCGAGCAGCGCGCGCATGTAGTCGCGCGTCACGCGGCGGTCCTGATGCAGGTACGGCACCATCTTGGCCGACTCGGTGAGCGCCGCATACACCATGTCCGGCTCGGCCACCGTGCGGAGCAGCTGCACTACACTCAGGAAATAGCTGCGCACGGGTCGATAGAGTGCATGCCACTTGGGCGTGTGCGTGGGCACCTTGAAGTGGCCGTCCGCGCCCTTCTTGTACGGCACATGGTGCTCCATGACCACGGGCATGTACTTGAGCGTCGTGAGGACCAGCTTGGTGAACACGGCGCTGTCATCGATGCGGTAGGCCTGCGGTGTCTCCTCCTTCTCGCCTGTGTGCACGGCTGCGCGGAAGGCGAGCAGCAGGCGCCGCAGCGCGCGTGGCGAGCGGTGCCGCAGGAGCTGGCGCTGCCACTGGCGCAGCATGTCGATCGTCAGCACGCGCTCGTCGTCATCCTCAGCCTCGGCGACGTCCTCGTCCACTCCGTCGTCACCCTGGCCGAACTTGAGTAGATCCTCATCGTTCTCCTGCAGGTACTTGAAAAATTCAGGGTCCGTCTCGGCGAGCTTCGCCAGGTCCTGGGCATGCTCGTCCTCGTCGTCGAGCGCCTCGGCGTCCTCGAGGTCATCGTTGTCCTCGAGCTCCTCCTCTTCTTCTTCGTCGTCGCCCATCCCCTCCTGGAAGCCGCCACGCAGGAAGTCGTCCACGCTCATCGCCGGCTCGTCCACCTTCGCCTCGGCCTCGTCATGGTCGCCCTCCTCGTCGTCGTCTGGCTCGCGGCGGTCCTTGTTCTTGATATGCTTGGTCTTTTTCTTGGCCGCGCGCCTCTGCTGCAGGGCCGCGTCCAGTTTGTTCTTGACAAACTTTTTCGTGCGCTTCGTCGCCTTGGCCATGGTCGCTCGCGCCACGGTTCACGCCCGCCTCGTCCATTTTTTGTTCGCTCGGCCGACGACCGACCGTGCGCGGCCGCCACGCGTCCCCGACGCGACTGCCTTCATGGGTAAGATGACGACGATCCCCGTCAAGGTCAAGCACAATGGGAAGATAGTACGCGTTAGCACTAACCCAAGTACGATGTAACTCTGGATCCGACGGCCCAAGGACTCGCATTCAAGCAGGCGATCGCGGAGGCCACGCATGTGCCGTCGGAGCGCCAAAAGGTCATGATCAAGGGCGGCCTGCTGAAGGACGACACGGACCTCGGCCAGGTGGGTGCGCGCGCGGGCCAGACGTTCATGGTGATTGGAGCCGCGGGCGAGCTGCCCAAGGCGCCAGCCAAGCCAATCCAGTTCCTCGAGGACCTGCCGGATGAGGACCTGTCTCAGGCGCAGTCGTGGCGTGGCGGGCTTGTGAATCTGGGCAACACGTGCTATCTGAACTCGACGCTGCAGGTGCTGCGCAGCATAGAGCCGCTGCAGGAGGCACTCGCGGCGTTCACGCCGCGCGTGGGCGCGAGCGAGGGTGATGCGAATCTGCTGGCGGCGCTGCGCGACCTGTACCGGGACATGGGCAAGACGACGGAGGCTGTGCCGCCGCTGGTGTTCCTGTCGATCCTGCGCAAGCTTGCGCCGCAGTTCGCGGAGATGGCGGAGGGCGGCGGGTACGCGCAGCAGGACGCGGAGGAGGCGTGGATGCGCATCATGCAGGCACTGTCGATGCTCCCGTCTCCCTCGGCGCCGGGCGACCGGATTGTGCCGCAGTACCTGAGTGGCACGATGGCCATTGAGCGCCGCTGCCTCGAGGTGGATGAGGCGCCGTCGGCGCTCAAGGAGCCGTTCCAGATGCTCCAGTGCAACATTTCAAGCACGACCAACAACATGGAGAGCGGCATCGAGGACTCGATGACGCAGCACCTCGAGAAGCACTCGGACACGCTGCAGCGCGCCGCGTCGTACGAAGAGAAGCGGCGCATTGCGCGCCTGCCGGCGTTCCTGGCGGTCCACTTTGTGCGCTTCTACTGGCGCCGCGACATCCAAAAAAAGACCAAGATTATGCGCAAGGTCAAGTTCCCCAAGGAGTGGGATGCCAGCGCGCTGGTCACGCCGGAGCTTGCCGAGCGGATCGCGCCGGTGCGGACGAAGATGCGGGAGATCTCCAAGGAGCGTGACGAGCGTGCCAAGGTCCGCGCGCGCGCCAAGGGGCGCCCAGACGAGGCGGCGGCTGTGGAAGGCGGCGCGCTGACGGACGAGCAGGAGAAGGCACAGCGGGCCAAGGAAGCCGCGGAGCTCGATGCGACGATCGATGCGGGCCTGCGCAGCGATCCGGGCTGCAATGTGAGTGGCCTGTACGACCTCGTGGGCATCGTTACGCACAAGGGCGCCGCGGCGGACGCAGGGCACTACATGTCGTGGGTGCGCAAGGAGCCGCGCGCCGACGATGTGCTGGCACCGCCGTCGACCGAGTGGTACAAGTTCAACGACGACCAAGTGAGCGTCGTACCTGCCGACAAGCTCGATAGCCTGAGTGGCGGCGGCGAAGACTCGGTGGCGTATCTGCTGCTATACCGTGCCAAGACGCTGTAGATGCATACATGTACATGAGAGGCCGACAAGCCTATGTCACGTCTATGCTACCATACCTGATGGTCCATCTAGGCCTACGACGTGTTCGGCAACCCGGACGATGCCTCCGACTTGATGGGGGGGTGAGAGGGGTTGTGGTGCGCGGCTGCTGCCGCTGCTGCTGCTGCTGCTGCTGCTGCCGCCGCCGCCGCTGCGTACGGATCGTGCCGTGCGTCGGTTTTGCGTGAATCCTCATGCATCGATAAGAGCTCGTTCGTGCGTCCCACGAGGCCCGAGGGCCGGAAGTGTGTTTTGAGATGCTGCGACAAGTTGTCGGACCGGCCGAAACTCTTGCCGCAGGAGGCCACGGGGCACTTGTGGGGCCGTTCCTGCGTATGCGTGCGCGTGTGCCGCTTGAGGTGCTCCATGCGCTTGAAGCGCCGCCCGCAGTGGCAGACGTGCAATTTGTCCGCACTGCTCACGACGAGCGGCGGCGGGCCCGCCTGGCGCCCGCGCTGGCGCACGGGGCTGGGCCCCTCGAAGTCGAGCATGCCCGGCATCTGGTCGCCCGGCATGCTGATGCTGTGTGAGATGCGCGCGCCGCGCTGCCGCGACGTACTGGGCGTCGACGGCGAGAGGGGCAGCGGCGACGCCAGGGCACTGGTGCTTTTCGAGGCGGACATGGGCGACGAAAAGTACTCCATGTCGGGGTGGCCCCAGTACACGCCGGAGTTCTTCGCGTAGGGCGTGTACCCCTTGCGCGCCATGGACACCGAGCTCACGGGCAGACTCATGCCGCTGGACGCGGGCGAGACGGGGAACGACCCCGGCTCGCCCATGGGGGTCTGCGGCAGGCCCGGCATGCCGCCCGGCGTGGCGCCGGGCGAGTCGTGCGGCCACGACGGCATGACAGGCGCCGAGTACACGCGCGCCATGCCGTGTGGGCCGTGCTGCGGCGTCACTGGGTCCATGAACATCATCGACGGGAGCGACGCGGGCGGTGTGAACGACGGCATGGGCATGAACGGGTCGTCGAGGAGGCCGCCGGGCGCCGGCGGCATCCACGGGGGGATGCCGGACGGCAGGCCCATCTCGACGCCGACGGGCAGCGACGCCGACTTTTGCGGCGACGGGCTGTGGTCGAAGCTCGGACGGTGGCTCGACAGGGGCTCCGGGACGAGCGCGGGCGACGTGAGCTCCGCCGGCGAGCACACGCTGTGGTGCCGCATCACAGGGTACTCGGGCGTCGAGAAGGGCGCGTGCCCTGCCTGCACGTAGCGCCCACTGCGCTCCTGGCGGGATCGCGGCGTCATGGGCGGTGCGGTCGACGGGGCCGGCGGCAGCGCGGGCGCCGGGGTGGCTGCGGGCGGCGCGCGCTGCGCCGCCTCATCGGACGCGTGCGGCGTCATGGGCAGGTCCGTCGGGCACCACGCGGGCGTCGGCACGGGCGGCTCGTCCGTGCCGACGCGCCGGCCTTGGCTCGAAGGCGTGCTGAGTGAGAGCGCCGAGACGCGGTGCAGCTCCATATGGAGGAGCTCGCTCGAGTCCCACGCAGGCTCGTGCTTTATGTCGGAGGAGAGCAGGCCCGCATCCAGCGGCGAGTCGTGCAGGCCGAGCACCGACGACGGCAGAAACGGATCGAGGGAGCCCCCCGCCTCGGCCGGCTCGGAGCCCACCGACTCGGTGCTGGACGGCGCCGAGAACACATACGGGTCAAAGGGCGGTACCCCCTGCTCGCCAGGATACATGGATCCTTGGCTCATGCTGGCAGGGCGGAACAGATGCCCAGGTGGCCGTACGGTTGCCTGTGCTAGCACCGGAGCCGCACCGCGTGGCCACGCGGAGGCCACCGGCCGCTGGGGGCGGCACTTCGGCCGACAGCACGTGTGGCACTACGGCCGAGATCTACGGAGAGCGGCTCAGCCCCAGTAGGGCTGGCGGTACGAATAGCCGTCGTACGCCGTGGCCTGGTTGAAGCCCGCGTACTGCTGGTAGTACGCGGGGTGCTGCTGCGCCATGGGCGCCTGCTGGCCCTGCGGCGTCGGCACACCACCCGGCGGCGGCACAGCGCCCGCCCCCGACGCGCCCGCCGGCCGAGCCGACGCGCCCTTGCCCGCCTCGAGCGAGCGGTAGTCGAGAGGACTCGACACGTGCGGCGCCGCGCTCGCCGACGCGCGGCCTGGCACGGCCGGCACGCCGGGCGGCGGACCCGCGCCCAGGAAGCCGAGACTCGCGTCCGAGCCGGCGAGCTTGAAGTCCGCCGCACCCGCCGCGCCGCCCGCGCCCGCACCCGCGCCGAGGCGCTGCGCGAAGCCCTGCGACTCGTACGCCGGCATCGCAGCGCCTGGCGTCGGCTGGTACGCCTGGGGCGGCGTGTGAGTGCTGTACGGCGTGCTCGCCGTGTCGTGCGCATACGCCTGCAGGCCCGCCGCCGCGTCCGGCTTGGACGGCGGCGGCGGCTGCGGCTGGCCGCCGTACAGCGGGTACTGCCCAAAGCCCGCGGCCGGCGAAAAGTGCTGGAACTGGCTCGGCATGTAGTAGGGGTAGTAGTAGGGCATCACGTTCGGGAACGGCTGCTGCATGCCCGCCTGGGGCTCTGGCGCCGCTGGCTGCGGCGCCTGCGCCGGAGGCACCGCGCCCACGCCCGGCGTCAGGGGGGCCGCCGCGCCTGCCGTGCGCTCGTNCGGCGCCGGGCCGGCCGGCACAGCAGCGGCGTGCGCGGCGGCGGCCTCCTTCCTCTGTGTCTTTTTGGACTTGACCGACGCGAACTGCTCGGCGTGGCCCTCGCTGATGCGGCCGACGGCGAGCTCGACCTCGCCGCCTGACTCTTGGAGCACAAACAAGAGGTCCTCGTCGGACCACGTGGGGAACAGCTCCGAGAGCATAGCCAGCTGCGTCGGGTATTTGGCGCGCAGGGCGCGCACCTGCTCTGTGTCATCTTCGGCCGCAGGACCGCGTCCACGCGCGGCGGCGCGGCGCCGGGAAGTAGATCCCCGGCGGGGTGCCGCGGCACTTGACGGAGTCGTCATAGGTTGTGTGATACGCAGGACGCAAGGCGCAAGGCAGTCGAAGCTCTTGCGCGCTGTCAGGGCGATCGCGGAGACGACAACGCCAGCGTGCGCTGGCCCTGTCTTCGATCACGTGATGTACTGCGGTTCTCGGCCGAGTTACTGCGTGGCGCTGATTCCGGAGGCGGGGCAGGGCGCGCCCCGCAGTAACACGGCCTAGCAGGGCACTCGAACACACTGGCAGGCCGCGGCGCCCGACCCCGCCGCGCCTCTCCTGGGCCTGTCGAACGCTGGCCCTCGCGGTCCCTGCTGTGCAGCCACAGCCGCAAGCCCGCGTCTGGAAGGTGCCGCGTGGCGTTCCTGCTGGATGGAAGGACGACACACCCTTGCGCCGGCTGGCTCGCTGGGCATCGCGCCGGAGGCGCTCGTGGAGCGCCTGCGCGGCCAGCCCGCGGAGCCTGTGCCGGACGGCGGCGGCGGCGGCGCTGCGGCCCAGTGCTGCACGCCGCTCTCGCTCGCCAGCCTCTCTCTTCCGAGCTCGCCTCGGACCCAACCATCGCCGTCGCTCTTGACGCCGCCGTGCGCGCCACTCGACCTGGCATCGACCTCTGCGCCGCCCTGTGTGGATCTCCCGCCGCAAGACGAGGCAGGGCCTGGCAGCGCGGTCCCCGCCGAGGCGCCCCTGGGCGGCGAGGCGCTCGAGGTGCCGCCCTTCCGCGCCGGCGCCGGCGCGCCCGTGCTGCTCCTCGATACGCGCCCCTCGCATATTTTCCGCGGCTGCGAACGGACGACGGGCGCCGAGCAGGACGTCACGGGGCACCTCCAAGGGGCCATCAACTTGCAGGTACCGACCCTGCTGCTGCGCCGCACGCAGCGCGCGCTGAGCACGAGTCCTGAGCTGCTGGACACGATGGACTTTGCCGCCTACATCCACTCGGACTCGGGCGTGCGCCGCCTGCGCCGCCTGGGCGCCTCGCAGGCGACGCCCGAGCTCGGGCTCCCGGCGTGCGCCGTCCGCAAGCTCATGCACGTGTACTGGTTCCTCGATGTCGTCGTCCTGCACGAGGACGACGCGTCGGCGTTCGCGGCGTTCATGCTGCTCCGTCTGCTCGCTGCGCAGCGGGCGCGCGCGGCCGCGAGCGCGAACGACGCGGCCAGAGCGTGCCGCGGCGGCCTGTACTACGTCGCCGGCGGCATGCGCGCCGTGCGGCACCTCCCCGCGAGCCACGCGCTCTTCTGCGTGGGCGACACGCCGGCCGACCCGCGCGACGAGGAGCTCGACCCGAAGCCGCTGCAGCTGCCGCCTGCGTCGCTCACGCCGCCGCGCGCGGCGGCGCGCGGGCTGCCCGGGCGCCCCACCCCCACGGGCACGCCGCGGTCGCTGGCGCCCAGCATGGAGCGGCGGCACTCGGCGCTGGACGTCATGCAGCGCCTGCCCCTCATGGCCTCGCTGCGCGTGAGCACCGGGCCCACGGCGAGTGTGCCGGAGGAGATCGTCACGGCGCGCGAGGCCTGCCCGACGGTGTTCGACGTCTCGACGATCATCCCCGGGCTCCTGTACGTGGGCCCCGACGTGCAGAAGCTCGACGACGTGCAGGAGCTGGAGCGCCTCGGCGTGCGCGCCGTGCTGAACACCGCCGTCGAGTCGGACGACACCGGCGAGCCCTACCGCGCCCTGCGCGCCCAGCTCGCCGCGTACCGGCACCTCCCGATGCGCGATGCCGTCGAGGCCGCGGACGTCCAGGCGAGCCTGAGCGAGGCGTGCGCCTTCATCGACGGGGCGCTCGCGGCGGGGCAGCCCACGTACGTGCACTGCCGCGCCGGCAAGTCGCGCAGCACGACCTGTGTGATGGCCTACCTGATCCAGGCGCGCTCGTGGACGCTGCAGCAGGCATATGCGTTCGTGGCCAGCCAGCGGAAGCGCACGTCGCCGAACATTGGCTTCATCGCCGAGCTCATGCAGTTCGAGCGCGCCACGCTCGGCACACACACGGCCAGTGTGCCCCTCTCGCATCACAGCCCCCACGACCGGCCCGCCCAGCGCGTGGCCTCGAGCCCCACGTGCTCTCCGCCTGTACCATAGCTAGCTACTCGAACCATGCGCGTGCGCCCGGACGCACAGCCACGTCGCCCGCCGCGGTGCGCGTCCAGCCCGGCGGCGCGACGCACACGTGCCCCGCCGCGGCGGCGGCCTCGAGCACATCCACGAGCTCGCGGCGGTCCAGCACGCCCGCCAGCTGCGCCGTGAGCGCCGCGAGCGTGACGCCCGGCCGCGCACACACCGTCTGCACCGCGAGCGCGTACCGCGGCGCCCACAGCGCCTCCTGGAAGCGCCCGTGCGCATCGAACCACGCCCGCGGCTCGGCCCAGCCGCCGTC